TTTTACCACCAACAACACAATGCATGTATTTTACCTTATCAACACCATACCAACAACACAATGCATGTATTTTACCTTATCAACACCATACCGACAACACAATGCATGTATTTTACCTTATCAACACCATACCAACAACACAATGCATGTATTTTACCATATCAACACCATACCAACAACACAGTGCATGTATTTTACTATAAGTGTTTTGTACTGCTATTTCATGGCATTTAATATGTACAACATTAATACAGATATCAGTTTCATTTCATATTTTATGTATTATAGGTTGGAAGTTTGAATTAGTCTGATATATTGTTATAGAGAAAGAATAGACAAAAGGTATTTTTCATCCAGATTTGAAACCTGCTGTCATATTTAATGATGTTATCTAAACAAGTTTATGTTAGGATTTATAAATGTTATTATGTTTATGTTATTATTGTAATAACAATCAAATAATGTTATAACGAGTTAATTCCCTATATTATCACTGAAATACAGCAAATATAGAAAATCAATTGGATTATGTCTAATTTAAGAAGTGTTATATTTATTTTGATTGATCAAACGATTTTCTCTATTCAAGAGTATATTGGATTATATAAGAATCACATACTTGATGTGAATGAAATCAAGTTCATTAGGTGTAGAATTTATACTTATAGTGAATGATTTCATACAACCTATAACTTATTCTGCCTTTTTTCTTCTGCAATTTCTTAAAGAGACTCTTAACAATTTTTTTTAGAAAAATTTTCAATGGGTGTTTAATCGTGTGATTATTTTTCATTTCACTGTGGCTTTTTTCAAAAAGTTGAATTGAGAACAAGTTTTATTGCAAAAAAAGCTGCTACTTTCTCTGAATGGAGTGTCAAAACTGGATTAACCTTAATGACATCTGAAACAAATAAACTTCAACCGTTCTCACAAAAATGAGGTCAGGGGAACATTTCTGTGTCATATAAAATTTATAAGGAAAATATGATATTTTAATATATACACCGCCATATATAATTACCTCCACTTCTCTTGTTGAATGGTAAAAGGACATATTTTTGCTAATGAAAAAACTTCAGATAAAATTTCTTTCTGAATTTTCTTGCTCTTGTTTGCTTTAAAATTCTAATCTACCTTAAACTACAATCAATAATCTATTTAACAATAATGATAATTTTTTTTTAGTCTTTATATCATTCATTTCCTTGAGTGGCATTAGGCATTGCTTGATAAAGACGAAAGCATCATCGTCAAAACGTCGCATGTTATTTATTAAAGTTATTGTTATCCATATAATTGTGTCCAGTTATATATATTATTCATTATATTGTGCCAATGGGTAGAAAGTAACAGGACCAAGTAACTTTGGTGTATTGGCTCTAATTCTGAATTATTATTATTACCTTGCTTAAAAGGCTCAAAAACATTCTTGAAATAAAATAATACAGTTCTATACAAACCTGCAAGGTTGTGATGGTAATTTATTAAAATCTATTGTTCTTTGTTTACACTTTTTACATTCAAAGAATCTCTTTTTCCCTTTCACTTTAGTAATTTCATGTCTTTCTTTTTTACATCTATCACCAACTGACATAGCTGAATAACCACACTAAAACATAAAAAAACATGATAAATTCAAAATTCTAATCTGAAATGAATAACAATTACTTATGTCATGCAATACATATATATTTTGCAACCTGATTAAAACACAGATATACCTAGATTTTTCATGTTTTCAACTTCACTAGCCATCCATGATCTGACAAAATTGTTATGCAATATTTGTTCTTAATCATATTCAAACTCTCTTAAAATATGATCAATAAAAGATTAACAGACGATATAAGTTTTTACAATGTTTGATACTATTGGTTCAAAATTTAATCATGGATGCACAAAAAAAATCATCTCGATATGCTCATAAGAATTGAAATAATGCAGTTTAACTATGTAAGAAGGAATAACTATATCTTGTTTATTTTTTTAAGCAAAACCTCTAATGTGATATATCAACTGTTTAACTACAGTCAGGAAGTTAGAGTAAAATCAAACAATTTGCTCTGAACCTTACCTGCTTACAAGTAAAAATACAACAATCTAATGAAGTTATAGATTTCATTTTGTCTTCCATTGTTTCTTTCTTTTCTAATTTATCAAAATATTTCTCTTCTCTTTCACATTCAGCCTGAAACATTAGGACGTTCACTGTGTAGTTTAGAAAACGTCAGAAAGTATATAGCCTACAAATAATCTAGAATGTAACTTAATATGGACAAGGGATATCCGGAGTCATGTCTTTTGGTCAATCACTATGTACAAATGTAAGTGACCATTGAATTTATTTCTGGAACTTTTGGAAAGCGTAGACAGTGAAGTGTTTAGTGTTACAAACCAAAATAAAAGCAACCTGACAATAGTACACCTTCGACATGTTCATGCGAAAAGTTTGATGCAGGAAATCTTTGTCAAATTATATGATTATCATGACAATAGATTGGCATAACCCTTTGCATTAGTAGAAATCAGATGGCCAGACAGAAATCATAATTAGAAAATTATGTCGAAGCTTTGTGTGGGTGCATTAAAATTGAGTCAACTTACCTCCCTATAAGCACCAATATGAGAAGATTTAGCTTTCAATAATTTCTGAACCTCGGGTGATTTTAAATCAACATTGCCCAATAATCGGGATCTTTTCATAGGTGGTTCTTCACTCATATTATTATATCCATTACTTTCTACAAGACATTTAAACACATTTTAGTCTTTAGAAAATGATGCAAATCAAAAGATTTGAGAAGGGGGCTAGGATGAAAAATGTTTACACAACAAAAAGAGTGTAATTTATCATAAAAGCTTATAAGCAAGTTAAAGATGTCAATTTTACAGTAGTAATGATCCATCTGGATAAACTGAATATTGACATAAATACAAATTTTAAAGATGGGTTCCCTTACTTTCATTTATGAAAATGAAAATGCGAATATTTATATGTCCTAATGAAATACCACTTTGTCTCACAAAATCACCAAAATTAGAAAAGAATTACAAACAGAATTCCAATGATTGACCTGTTTATCCAGACTGTACATATACATGGACATTTATGATTGGTTAAAACACTTATTGCAATAAGAACATAAAATGATATGATTAAGAATACATGATAATTCATTAGAAACACCAATTAATCAAATTGTTTGCTTAATTTGACACTAAAAAATAAGGATACTCATCTTCAAGAAAATATAGGGTGTTATTCAACTAAGTGATTCAGAAAAAAAAAAAAGATTTTTCCCCATTTCATTTCTAACTGTATAAGGAAATTTAAGATAACGTGGTTGTAGAGATATGAAAGTTTTCAGATCTGTCTAAAAATTAGTTCAACCCGCCTACCCATCTCTTGAGACCTAATTATGTATCTTTTGTAACAAAACAGGACATATGTTGTTACACTCATTGATTAGTGTATTTTCAACTTAATGTTTATTTAATTGATAGGCCATAAAAACTGGCACCTGATACCACTGACATCCTTATAACTGATATTTACTAAAGCATCACATTTCAAACAGGAAAATTTAAAGTTATCTTACTCTTCAAAAACACCTGATGCCACTCTTTTCTTGTGAAACTTGACTCGTACAAAGTCAATGACCACTTCTACCAGCCACATAATTATGTGATATAATGCCCAATGTTTCTGAACTTACTAGAGTCACATGATGTTAACATCCTACGCTCTTAGTTAAGTTATATAACTTAAGTTTAAGAAATTAATCACTGGAGTAAATAATCGATTGATTTTGAAATTTGCCTCTATCAGCAGATAAAATATGCACCCCCAACCCCACCCAGTATAACAGTGACTGATATCATATTGAAATTATAATTCAAACTTTAGGATTTTTGACCATACCTATATTTTCCAGAACTCTTTTTTTCACTCGTTCCTGTATGGGTGATGTATTTTTGACAGCATTTGGATTTTCTTTCTTACAGCCACCTTTTCTTTGAATTTTAGAAATGGCTAGTAACTGAAAACACAAAAAAATTTCATAAGCTATATGAAACATTTCCATTTCTAGAAATGAGTTTCTTTTATATTAAGCCTATATGTATCTCAAATCTTTTCATTGTAACATAACTGTCCATGCTGCTGGCACATAAACAGTCTTGGTCACTGATATTTGTCGCTAAATTGAGTCTTGTCAAGTCTTTCACTGACCGGCTGCAGACACACGAGGAGACAAAAAATCTCCAGTCGGTCGTCAATAATCATATGCGGATCATGCAATTGACTGAAAATGAATCTGACTGGATAATGATTCTGTCATGCAGACTTGTTTGATATCACAAATCCAATAAATTTGGTCCAGCGACAAAGACTGTTTGTGTGCCCACAGCATTTAATTAATAAAATAAGATACAAAGAAATTCATCCTTCGAAACTTTTCTGGGAATAAATGGGAACAGAAAAAAGGAGGTATATAAATAGAAAATTGTCATATGTCATATTGTATATGTTTTGTTCATATCTGATAGAGGGTGTCATTATTTTTATAACACCTGATATACTTTCAGTGTCAGTATATATTTAATTACAGAATTATCACGATCTATCTGGAGAATTGAACCCTCCATAGTGGCTCAAGGATCTTTGTGTTCTTAATAGTGTACTTTAATATACCTACATATGACTTAGCCCAAGGTTACTTATTACAATTACATTATAATTAATGACCAAACAGACAATAATTAAGACTGAAACAACACCTGAGGTCCAGATTCTATAAAATCATTTACCTGATAACATCACGATATACATCAAATACTTGTAAAAATATACAAGTAATTATATTAGCAGAAGGTCACGATAGAAACTGGACACCATTGACATTTTTTCATTTATTTTTTCAGTATCAGAAATGAAAATTATGAAAAAGGAGAGACTCTAATTATAGTATCTATTGTTTGGGATAATTCCTATTTAAGTTCCCTTTTTCCAAATTAGAGATCCTGGATCGAGTTATCTCTCAATTTCTCACCTGTAGCAAAACTCATGATCCTGTTTCCTTCTGTGGCAGAAGCTAAGTCTGATCAACCCAGATTTGTCAAAAGGTCAACCTAAGAACACTATCTTCACAGCAGTTGAAAGGGACTTGAATCTATTCTTATGTGAATTATGGCAAATAATGGTAACATTGAACAAATGATGGCTATGGGTTCTAATCTCAATCAGCATGTCGAGTCCGATGACCTTAAATAATTCATCTTCACTCATAATTCTAGTCAACCCAGCTGTAAATGGGTACGAATAATCCAGAAAAAATCAACGCAAAGAGGTTTGGCCAAGGACCAGCTGATAGAAAGGATCCCTTTTTGTGAACCTATTTGTTATCCTTGTACAATATAGTTGTTTTGTTTCTTGCTTCACAGCAAAACTTACCTTGGCTTTATCAATTGCGCTACTCTTAGACTTCGATGAACTTCCTCCTAAAAACACCTCCTGGCCAGGATAAAAACCTTTTCCTAATGTTGGTGTTGCTGATAGAGGATCTAAAGTAGGAACTGTTTTTCCGAGAGCAGCCAACCTGGCTCGTTTCTTCTCATTTAGATCTTTAGAGTGTTGTTTCAGTAATTCAAGAGGAGTAATGGATATCATAGGTTTCTCACTTTTAGCTTCTATAAAATGAAAAAAGCTATGTTTCCATGCATCATCAGATTGATTGCAAGTCAAATAGAATTTTAAAAAATCTGTTTTTCTTTCTGGATGTTTATATACAACAATAAAATATTTTCACTGTATAAAAATAGAGCTCAATACATTAATTGTAGTATGATATCAGAATCAGATCTTGAATAATGTTGTTACTCAGAGTTTGACGCCATGCGATCTTCAAACAAATGACATCAGCTGGCTGAATCCTGCTTAGAGTTACAACATGAATCAAGATCTGTCTTAATATATCTAGATGTTTATATATGTATAAAAAGCTAAAGATGATGGTTGTAAAAGATGAAATGAAATTGATTTTATATCATACTCTTCTCAGCTGTCTGGATTTATAAGGATTGATGTCATGCAGTGTAGACAGAGCATACGTTTACTTTAATTAAATTGCCAAACAGCCTTTAGTAAATTGGGGCCTCAGTTTATTTTTCATTCGTAGTCTCTTTGACCTGTATCAATAACCGGGAAAAATCTGAAGGTATTATCTCTTTGTAAGAGATAAACAAGTTTTATAGTCTGTAAGTAGCTAAGGTGTTTGGGCTGTGCACATTTAAGAATCCTTGACAGTTGGAAATCGAAAGAGAGCAGGCTAATGCCGCTCAAATTTCCCTCGCATTGTCTGTCTTCATTAACCAACATGGTGCAGAATAGTAAAGGGCTATAAATCTATAATAAATATATCTAACTAGACCACAATAGTTACCTTCTTCCTGTATTTCTGATTTCACCAAATGTTTGACTAAATTCATAGAACCAGCAGACGGTGTGGCTACCATATCAATACTGAAAAGAAAAAATTACAGTTACATACTAACAGTTGCCTATTTTGGGGAAGGGCCATTGAGCTATGACTCTCCGCTTAGATCTTTGATGTGAAAATTAAACTCTTTAAATTCTCAAAATTCATCTAAGGCCAACTAAAATCCTTCAGGGGGCCATTTGCTAACTGACTGACAACATATTATATGATTTATGGGTCTCAGATAACAGTATTGCTTCATTGCAATCTGATGTACCTTTTTCCTCAAGTATGTATCATACCCCTATACACTTACATGAAATTCCCCTCTGATCAACAAGGCATGTGTTTAAGCATTACATCAAAAGATCAAAAAGAATGACATAACTAAAACTTATTAACGTACAATGGTTGTTCCTTGGCTGTTACTACTAGCTTGTCTGTTGTTTTAACTTTGTCCTGATCAATTTCATGAATTGACAAGGTGGTCACTTTTTGTTTTCGGCCATTTTGTTGACTTAGTAACTTACTGACTGTTAATTTATCATCTTTTTTCTTGAGATTATTGGCTTTGGATCTATAATATAAAAATCATTTGAAGTATTAGAGACCACAATGGTACATCTTTTAAATCTTACCACTCACAACCTGTTCACAGCTCACTATCCAAATATGAGCCTTCAAATCCATGTGTGTCCAGAATTATCTGCATTTGAAAGTTAAAATGAAGACTTGTAAATTTAAGATACTCTGTCATATATAGAAAATACATCTATAGAAATAGTGAGTAAAATTCCTAGTTTGAAGTATTTTTAAAGGAATTATGCGATTTTTGTACATTTCTAGTACTTCTGAATACTATTCACATATATTCAAGACTAAATCAAACCCCAAAAAAGGCACACCTGTCCCTTTGATTTCATATTTGAAAACATTAAAAAGACATGTGTTATAAATATAGGCTAAATTTCATACTTACTCCATGGAAGAAAAAGTTTGACCTCCATAAATATAATGTGAACCTTTTGGCATGATTTTCTTTTCAAAAGATTTTGGTGTCATTCCTGTCATACTGAAACAGAATTTTATCCATGACAGATAAGTTTCTCTACATTTGAGAAGTACCTTGATTCTACCAGAAAAATTAGCCATCTGGTGTCAGCAATATTCAAATAATCTAATAAAAGGGTATGTGTATCAAACAAAGGAATAACAACTTCTTAATCATTAGAGTGAATACAATCCTAAAAAGTATAATAATGTAAACCATCCTTATAGATATTTTGCAATCAGTTTCAGTTATGAAATTCATTCAGAACTGGCTCATTCTGACCAACTTTTTTCTGAAAACCAGAAAACTAAATGAAGCTTCAATGAGACATGTGCTAAAAGGAACTTACCTTCCTTGAAACTCAGATCGTTTTGAAGATGCTTTTTTATATGCTGATTGAACATGAAAGGCACAATATCCACCAAACTTACTGTTAATAAATGTAAACAAATTTCACTAACAAAAAATCAAAGATCTGCCATTAAATTAAATCTCCACACACATACACCCACACTCACACACACCCGCACACACACACTACTCCGCTACATTTTCTCACCATTAAGTACAAATTATAACGGTCTACTTACGTGTTGACAAAATTGGTACATTTATTACCACTCTTGGTTCGCCCCATACACCAACCTAAATCTTTAGCTTGACCCATTACTAACAACTGATTGGGATGTTTGATGGTAAAAGCTACCTCAGATGGAGACTAAAACATAATAACATGAAATAAACCAAATGTTTAATTATTCAAATACGTATAAACAGAAAATATGTATATATGAGAGTCTATATCTATATTAGACACCAACCAGGGGCCTGGTTTCAGGTGTACAATCGTACAATACATTATATGATGGCGTCTGCAACTTGTTGAATTTTTCATGACATATTATTTGTAGTGACAAGATTTTTCAATATTCATTCATTTATTCAAGAAAAACAAATCAATTGTTATATCTAAACAGCTTACAATAAAGAACAAATATAATATACAAAAGGATAAGAAAGGCTCTTAGATATTCTAGAAATATGACAGGTTTTATTTTATTTCCACTGCAAAAATTTTACTTTATCTGTATTCCAAATTTAGCTAGAAAAGAGGCATTAGCCTACTTTTTTGTGAACTGCCAGTAACACACAGGACCTTAGTTTATTTCCCTTTTCCAGGTCAACTCTGCATCACTGATGGAAGGAAACTGGGTTGAAAAGTCCAAAGGTATCATATCGACTTATGACAGGATTGAGCACTAGGTTAACGCATAAAGTCACTGTAGCTCCCTGTGACTTGGATAAGCCAGTTTGTAACAAACCTTATCAGCAGGGTCCATCATATTGGGGTTTAACAGTCCTATAACTGTACCAGTAGAATTTTTCCAATGTTCTTTATAAACTTGTCCAAACAGGAAAAAACTCACAGTTCTATCACAATCATCTAAATCATTTAATTTCCAAATACTGAATGTTTTACCCTAAAAATATCAAGAAACATTAAGCAACGTATAGAATCATTTCTGTCATGCCTGTTAAGAGGGTGTAAGGGGGTGAAAGACAACAGGCCTAACCCACGGCCCAATGGCCTAGAAGACAACATTCAAAATATAAACCTACTGAGCTTTTCTACTGCTGTCCGTTAGAAGTTTGTTAATCCTTCAAAGATATATTCATATATCCAGGCACTGCACCAGTAAGTATAGTTATTAGGTTTTGAAATCCAGGCTGAATCTCAGAAGCACCGGCCATAGAAGATATTGACTGTTGCTACAATATTTCTAGCTGTATGCCGATTTTTGAAGATACTCCCTGATAATGAAATTGCTTCAAAACTTACTGATGTAGCTGTTTTAGGATCTGTTTTATGAACCACAACTCCAAATGTTACCCAATTACCCTGTATTTCTGGAGTTTTTACTTTAGTATGAAGTTTAGATACTTTCATAAATTTCCTACCATCCATTTTCAACTCTAAAACTGCTGATGATATTAAAGGTTTTCTAGAGAAAAAAAAAACAATCTGAAATATAGCTTGTCTGGCAAGATTACATACACCTACACTAGCATATTTGTAAGAACATTTGACAGAATAGCAAATTTTTAATCATATTTGTTATACAGCAAAAAGTTAAAATACAATTGAAGAATTTAGGTTTAATCAATCATAATATACTTGTATATTTTTGAATTTCAATCATTTCCACCCTTGAGTGAAAAATAAATAATTTCACCAGGTTTCATCAACATCATACTTACATAATTCTTATTCCAGAATTTTTTTCCATGATAAATTTCTCCTCTTCTGGTTTGGTTGCACTTTTATTTCCACTATTCACACTTGTTTTACTGTTCTGACTTGTTGTACTGTTCTGACTTGTTGTACTTGTTTTAATAGTTAGTGTTTGTTGTGGGGGAGATTTTAGTGATGATGGCAATGAAGATTTGGACTTCCCTGGAATATATTTACTTTTAATGAGTATGTTCACCATCTGTTCATCCCTAACTTAGTCTAAGAAATGGGTATTGTTTAACTAATCTAATCAGAAAAAGTGTTCGCAACTGATTGTCAAAATTGTAGCCCCTCCTTATTCATATAGCGTAGTCTATCCATAATTATCTGCGTTCAGGCAGGGGAGAAACTAATGAAGATAGGAATACAAAATGAAACTTAGGATGCAATTTTCATACAGTTCTTCTACATTTAAAAACTAATCACATATATTCAAGGCCCAAATCAATCCTCTAAAATTAAGTGTTGCTTTATTACACATTTACTTAAAATCTTGACTTAATCAAAAATGAAATGAAATGAATTGTATCAAACTTACATGTTTCTGTTGATTGGTAAGATTCCGTAGATACTGAAAATGGTTCGTGAGCTACTCGTTTTCTCTCACCACTTGTTATTAATTTCTTAATATCTTTACCTTCTTTACTTAACCCATTACGTTCCCCTATTAACATAGAAATCAGTAGTTTTATAAGGAAATTTCTACAATCTTCATTGTTCTTTCCTCTCCTCTTTGGGCTAATGAGGATGCTTTTTGCAGTGTGTCATAAGAGAAATTTTTCCAGGATAGCAGCATGTGTCTTATCCTTTTTTAGATTTTATAACTGTCAAGGGATCATGGACAATCTGCCATTGGACTTATCCATATCCCTGCCTCCTACCTGTATCACTGACAGGGGTTAGAAATCAAAAGAAATTAGCAAGCATCTAGCCACCGTGGCTCCGTAGTTATTACTAGGAAAATTTGCTCCCAAAAGTAAAAGAGTTCCTGAAAATTGACTGAATGTGAAGAGCAGACAACATCATAGAAAAGCTTTATATGATCACCAAAACTCTCTCACTAGAGAGACATGTTTTTAAATATCAAAAACCATGTAGAATGAGGTATAAGCAGAGGTATCATTTGTAAAATATGATGAATTGAAATCTATAATAAAATGTTTTTACCATCTAAATCATCCCAATCACTATCACTATCACTGTCACCAAAAATACTTCTTGCCATTTCCTTTTTAGTAGTCTTAAGTTTATTGGTAACATCTTTATCAGTAGTTGGTACTTGTTTATTAGTAGGCACTGTTTTACCCCCTGACACTGTCCTTGCTTTAGTGGATATTTTCTTCCGTTGAATGTCCACTTCATTTTCACAAAAAAATAAATTAACATCAGATTCTTCTGAAATGTAAAAATTGAATCAAGCGAAAACTTAACATCAATATCTAAAGTTAAAAATCATTTCATTTCTTTCAACGGATTGATTAAACAGGTTTTCTACATTTCATATGTGTATCAGAGACACTGATAGCATCAAATTGCACCATTCCAATTTTCAATGGTTCCTGCAATTCTACTGAAATAAGTGTTTGATGACGTCACTAAACAGTAAATATGCTTTATCATATAAGGCCCTTCATGATAAGTATATGTAACCAAGAACAGAGTGTCTCAGTTAACAATTAATTTAGATTTGAATATATATCAAAGAGTAAATCTACCTTTATTTGACTCCTTCTTACTGGCTTTTAACTGATCCTGTAATTCCTTCATTTTCTTCTGCATCTCTACTAATTCAGCTAAAAAGACATTATATGTAGCAATTGATAAAATTAAAATTAGACCAAACTTCCATACCGTTTTTTACAAGCTTTCATTCTTAATATAGCCACTTCAGTTACGGTCTAACTACAGCCCTATCAACAAAAAGCCAGCGTTTGAGAGAGTAGAAATTTGATTGGTTAAAGCAGACGTCATTGAGTAAGGTTATTTGACAAACGTTTAAGAGGACTGTCATTTGACCCCAACTGAAGTGGTTATATTAAAAATTAAAAGCTGATAAAAAAAACCAAAGGATTGTTGTATAAGTTGCAGATTAAGAATATTCTGAACCTTTATTGTATCTATTTCCCTTCTAGTCTAAAAATTTAAATATGTACCTTGTATGTCAGAATCTGATTTATCACTTGTCTTTCTTTCAAGATTAAATTTCTTAGTAGGTACGTTATCTAGAATGATATTAAAAATAAATAGAATATATATCAAATAATATCAAATTACAAGCAATTTTAGCACAATTTGGAAATAATATACAATTTGATTTGATTTGTAATTTATTGTGATTTTGAAAAAAAAAAAATGGATTACAAATAGGATGACATTGACTCATAAACTTCTCTCTGGTACCACTAAAATTGAACACTGCCACCAAACCTAATTCAACTTAAATCTCCCTTATAAAGCAACTCCTAATTTACCATTATTTTTGTTACTCTCTGTTTGGTCATCACTATCAGAATCAGATTCATTTAGAAATGCTGCTATATCTTCTTGTGATAATTCTTCATTCTTGCTACTGTCTTTGCCTAAAACACAAATTTGTAAGGGCCATTAATTTCAACTGACCAAACCTTTCTGCTAAAAAAAGTAAAAGATTCAATTTCATTTGGATTTAATGTTGGCACAATCAAATTGCGAAAAAATGGAAACGATAATAAAAAGAACATCTGAAAGCCAGTCTGGAAGTTTCCTTGCCTTTCGTTGTCTGCTGTGGTTCTTCTTCATTATCGTCATCCTCTTCCAGAAATGAAGTCAAAGTTTCTAAATCACATTCATCTTCGTCTGGTTTCTCTGGATTCTTCTGATGACCAGAATCTGGATTCATTTCATTATTATCTAAATCAGCATCATCATCATCTAACATAGCTGTCAAGGCTTCTAAATCACAGTCGTCTTCTAAAAAAATTTTAGAACAATTTTATACTAATTTACACCACAAAAGGGATTGTATAGACGTTTGCTAAGATTTTTATGTGTATTGGGAACACCATTTTGATTTTTAGCCAGAGGCCCTCAATTGTTGCAATTTTATAGCGCTTTGTTATAGTTGAATTACAAGAACCACAGACACACATAATATTTTAGAAAACCTCTTTATAATCCCTTAAAGTCAATAATATATTATATAATTTCTATTTCGTAATAAGGCTGCAAATCGTGGGTGACTGCTTGAAACCTCGTACACACAATATTTGGTCATTTTGAGTTTTTGGTACCGTTCGAAAGCTAGTAGAAGCGCGGATCTTGTGATCAAAACCTTGTATTGTTAGCTTGATTGTGAATATCTCAAAAACCACTAATTAAATAACACGTATATAAAAAGTCAGATTTAAAACCTCGTAAAATATTATATCATACAAGGTTCAATGTTCCTTTTTCTGCGGATGAAAATGAAAAACCTTGAGTTATTGGTTGAATAGGCCGGAGTACTCAAATTGTTATATGAGGTTTAAATTTTCAAAGAATGAAAACCACGTATAACAAAAAAGATTGAGATTTAATTTTATTAGCAACTCAAATAGATTGAAAAACAACTTTACCTGCCATATTGTTATTTTCAATATCAAAATTGTTCTGGAAAAAAGAAATAGTTTATTATTATTTTTGAATTTGTACAATTCAATTGAAATTGAGAAAAAGATGACTATAATTACCGAACAGGTGGCAATAATTAGTAATCACTTTCATATAATCACAGTTTACTGGATTCAAACAATTAGTTATTATCAGGTTGTAACAATATGTGGATTTTTTCCAGTTATTACTGTTGAAAAATATTAAGGCCTAGGAAGTTCAGCACCTTGAACTTCAATTGTTTCTCCGTCACACGTCAGTCAACACGTCAAACACGTTACTATCCTAAATCATGTCACCCTCGGATTTTAGAGATAGGGTCAGGGCTTCTATGTATAATTTAAATAGAACCAGTTCTGTTGCATATTCAACCTGATCATATTTTGGGATTTTAAGTTAAGAGAGAACAGCTTTCTTCACTTGAGATTTCAGTCCAGAGCCATAAGAGGCAAAAGAAATTTTAGCCAGATACTTTTGCCAAAATTATGAATAAGGATATCAGTAAATCTTGACGGCTATTCGCCAATACTGATTCAAAGCAAACGCAGGTAGACTGTTTAGTTTAAAAGATTCAATAGTCAGATCCGAAAAACTACATGAAAAAAACACTTTACTTTAAAATATAAATGTATAAATAACATGTTTACCTTTTCCACGCGAATTTTCGCGGTATTTCACGTCATCAATGTTATTATTTATTTTCGTATATTTGTGTATTTTTTTTTTTAATTTTGTCCATTTCATCAATCTGCGAAAAAATTTGAGACCACATTCAAGTTTATGTTATAAATGATGATTGTTTGTATTGTAGATCATAAATATTGAGCACGTAAAAGTCAAATAATTTAATACTAAACTAAATCAACTACCTTCGAATATATACGCCATTTTTTAATCTGAAAACTGAAACTGTAAACATTGAATTCACAGACATTGAAATAAATATTGCCAACGAACTGACAACTCCTGAAACAATGTCAGTTCTGAGAATTGCTGTAAGAATTTTGGAACTATGTATAATCATGCACACTGTATAGAATATTTATCGAGTGTTATTGAAATTTATTTCTAAATGAATCAAGTTCATGACCGATTTCGCTTCGGGCTCGGGATCGGGAAATTGAACCTACTCGACATTCAGTTCTGTAGGCTAGTCTTCTTTTACTAGGCCTAGTACATAGATATAACACACACAAAAGTAGTTCATAGCTGAGCCATTTTGAATCTCTTCCATAATCTAATTTTTAAAATTGCTATATCTCAACAAAGTCTTCAAATTGCATTTAAAAACCTTAAAGTAGGCCTAAAGTAATGCCATTTCTAAACCCTAAAATGTAATTTTAAAGCTTATTTGAAATATTATAACCTTTAACAAAAGGAAGAGATTCAAAATGGCTTATAACTATGTACATGTGTGTTATTTCTTTACTAGTAAAAGTTTCTTAAAGTAGCTAGACTTACAGTCAAGTAACCTAATTTCGTGCTAACTTATTTTTCGTGCACCTCCGGAAATTATTAATAATATACATGTGCGACCTCGCGTGACCTCTGCATTTGCTTGTTTTGAATAACATGGGTTATCTGGACAATGTCAACTAGTTGAATGAATTCAGTTGTTTTAAGCAAGGTAAAATGTATTAATGTATACTTTGACAAGTGCAAAATGGTGGATTTCAGTTATTACCAAATGTCAAAATTTTTCCATATAATCCTTAGTGGTAATCGGAATTCCAAGTGTCGTCTGCTAAAATGTAGTCCAACAAAAGCAGAAAAATTTTATGGAACACAATGTGGGCCATAGTCTTATGTTGTTCCATTGACTTTTAGCAATAATTCACGCTACGTATCTTATTTTGTCAGTCACGATTTTTTTTTCTAATCATTGTTTTGCGAAGGAATTGTCACTAGATATAATGAATTTATATTAAAGATAAACACTAAGAGAAGTTAATTATACTACTGGGTATCCATACAACATGTTTTTCTCAACTTACTTATAGATCAAACATTGTACACGATAATAGGTGACACATTTTGTCGCCGTTCTCGAAATGGTTCCTGAAGAAATATGGGTCAAAGTTAGGGATTCAAAAAGAAAATCGAACAAACCAATTTTAATTATATTGTAGAATATCTAAGGAAACATCTAAGACATCAAAAAAAAAATTTGCGTTTTTTTAAGTTTGAAGAAATTTGGTGTTGAATCCTTATATGCACGAAAATAGGTTACACCGCTATAATTTTGATTCAATTACAAGAGGTGTGACTGATTGTAATTAAGTGGCTGGAAAAATCATCAAAATGTCCTTCACTTATAAAAATTGTGTTCAAAAATGAGATATAGCATCGAATATTGTGTTGAAGGATTTGCAAGAAAGGCCAGGCACAATCTGTATTCCACAAACCACAAAAAATATTTTCCTAATTTTAGATTTTCTTAGACCAATTACGAAGATTTGAATATCTCAATTTGAAGTTTATTGAAATGACAGTGCAGAAATGACATTTTTCAAATGTTGATATTTCTCATCCCATATTCAATATGTAACAATTACTGATACTGTTATTGAAAAACTGAGTTTTGTTTTGTTCCAAATTATTGGAATTCTCATTTTGTGATAGACTCCTTTACAATAATGCATGAATTCAGTGGAAAAAATTAATTCTTATATTCAAAGAATTGACATTTTTTGACTCTTAACACTTCAAAAGCTGAAAAAGTGGCTTAGTTAAAGAAATCTGGGTAATGGTATAAGGATTATTTTTTTTCATTTTTTTGCAGTTTATTTGAAAATGTGAAACAATAATATTGTATGGATGGTTTTATTACTGAAATTAGACAATGGAAGCTGAGAAGAAGACCAAAACTAAAGAAAGCATAGATTCAAAGAAGAACATTGAGGATAAGAAGAAAGATGACAGTAAAAGTAGAGATCATAATAAAGCTGGTGGAGATGGTCCCAGTCATTCTAAAAAAGAGAGGTATGATTATTGATATTCAACTCTTAATTGGAAATAATGATTTCAAAACTTTTTTTAAATAAACATAAATAACAGCACACGATTGGCATCTCAGTGTCAGTGTCTAGAAATCTTATTCATAAGTATAATTCTGAAAATAAAATATTGGTGCTTGTACTTATGACTGGATACCAGAGAATGTATTGAATGTTAGAAAACCCAATTACCTAAATGATGGTTGGTACTATTCAAGTTTTAATTATCTTATTTGAGCAGTGAGAAAAGTTTAAGGAATGATAATGTAGATAAAAAGGATTACAGTAAAAGAGGGAAAGACAGTGATAAAAGGTAAGTAATATTTTCTTACAGTTTTCTGTTGTTCTTTTTTAGCTTTCTTCATCCGGAATGGTTATCACTTGATATGTGCTTGAAAATACAATAGGGTCTAAGATTTTGATTTAGATTTTTCTAATTAGTTGTAAATTATGTATAATCAAGTTATTCTATACCATAGTAATTCTATGACAACTTTATCTGTAGATCAAGCTCATCAACCTCACATAGCACCAAACTTAAAGACACTTCAAAGTCCACAACATCAAAGGCACCTGCTCCAGTCAAGTTGACTGAAGAGGAGAAAAAGGCGGCAAAAGAAGCTGAGGAAGCAAGACTGAAAGAAGAAGAACAAAAGAAGATTGAAGATGCTAAGAAAAAAGAAGAAGAGGAAATATTAAGAAAAGAAGAAGAAGAAAGGGTATGTATTATGTACACTGACACAGATTTTTCTGGTTTTAACTTGAGGGTAAGAAGAGGTGCGCTTTATATTAGCAATTATAGGGTATATGACCTATGATTTATTATATAAATTTATATTCTACTATAGAGAAAAGCTGAAGAAGAAAAACAGAAAATAATTGATGAACAGGTAAATCAATATATATAGCAATTATTTTATTTTTTATCAAAATATTTTTTTAAGAATGTGATCAAGCAGAATAGTAGGATGTAAAATTTCTCTCATTTAAATACTTAAACAACCTTCAAACCAAACTGTGTGTAAAGGATTATAATAAAGGATTAAAAAATATCCCATCAACGGAATAACAGATATATTTGTTTTTAATTTTGGGCAAAAACACTACCTCACTTTGTGCCCATTGTGGAACAAAAAACAGTCAATTTTGAAATATGTGCTCAATTAGGGATTTTTGGATTTGAATGATATCACAATGAAATATTCAGATAAACCGGTGGTATTAAATTTCTTGTATCTATTTTAAGGCCCAGTTGAAGGAATTTATAGAAGAAACTCAGTCACGGTTAGAATTTAAAAATCAAATGAAAGAAAAGAATATAAAAGCTCTAGGTATGTCTTATGTTTCTCATGAAACAATGGCACCTGATTTGCAGGGGGATGCCGAACTAAAAAATTGATAAAGGCATGTTCCCCAGTTCCGTTCATTTTTTATATGAATGAAACTTTGCATTAATTAATTATTAATTAACTATTCAAACCCATTCCTTCATTAGATCAGTTATCCCTTGGTAGCTTATTAAACATAATTGCACGGTTCTTGAAAATTGTTGGATTTTCAACATAGAACTATAATGCCAATGGTATCAAATATATAATGTTATTATTTCTATTGTATTTTTAAGATAATAGACCAGAAGAATCATTTTTCTCCAAACTGGATTCAAGTTTGAAAAAGAACACAGCGTTTGTTAAGAAATTGGTAAGTACAAGTTTAAGTGGGCTGGTATTAGTGTATTTTCATCTTTTAAGTATATTAGAGCCAAAGCATAGAAAATATACAAATAAATCGAAGAATAATGTCATGTTTAAAGTTTTGAACCCTTATGTATTCTTTAAGTTTAATGTAATAGAGTTACTTGATGTAAATTACATATGGTACAGGTAGGCTTATGTTCCATTAAGCTAGGATTTGAAAGATATGACAATCATTTAATAAACTCTATGAAAGTATTTTGATGTATGTTATTATATTGAAATATTTTTGTATTTAAGCGTAATTTAACAGAATCTCAGAGAGATGGTTTAATCAAAGATTTTAACAGTTTGAATCTCTCCAAATATGTTGGGGAATGTGTGAGTTTTCTATTGTTTTGAATATAATTTCCTATTACCCGTTAAATAGAATAAAGATGGAATCAATTTTAGAAGACATTTTGAACTTTTACTTATACCTTCACCGTTCTTGTACTATGGAATGCAGGGTTTTGATTTGATTGTACCTCTTGATAACATATCATGTCTTTATTTTTGTAAAATTCTCTTCAAATAACCTTTAACGATGACGTTTTGAGAGAGTTCACTATCACAAACTTAGCAAGTTCAGATTTTTGTGTTACTTTGCAGTGAGTAGTTATGAAAGAAAGTGCTAAAAAAAAATGCCCATATGACCATTCTCTGTGTATAAAAATTCTACATTTTTAGGCATCTGCTGTAGCTGAGACTAAATTAAAGATGTCTGACGTAAATTGTGCTGTTCACATCTGTAGTTTAATACATCAACGATATTCTGAATTCTCTAGCATGGTGAAAGACAACTTTCAGAAAATGCTTCTATCTAAAAAAGATGAAAAGGTTTGTTTAATTTATTTTTATGAAACACAAACTGGTGGTCTGATTACAAAGAAATGATATAGACAAAATTTTGTTTACAATAAAATAGAAGACATGTATTGCAGTATCGACTGGAATGTCTGGTCATGAGCCTTACCTTTTAGCTTTATAAAGCTACGATTAAGACTAAGTTGAAGACTTGAATAATGTCAGACAACAATTATTCAATAACACTTGAAATTTAGTGTTTTGGAGTAATTACACAAATAATTACTTAGTTTTATAGTTACAATAATAAAAAATACTGCACAATACATCACACATAGCTTGAAACTCTGAGTAACAACATGAGTCAAGTTGTGTTTTGATGTTTCTAGTTTTATGACATTAGGTAGCCTGGTTTGAGAATTAAATGTTATGTTCATTCTTATCTCTTTTAAGAGAGTTAGAGAAAGAAAATGGTGGTATAATATGCTTCATATTTCAGATAACTAACCCTAGTAAATATCGTGTAGATTTAAGATTATTTGCTGAATTGGTATCAGTGTGTGTTGTTGGTTCAAAAGAAGGACTACCAATATTAGCTAATCAGTTATCATTTATTATTAATTCTGATAAAGATGCCCACAATCACCTCTCTATAATATCTAGTTTCTGTAAACATTGTGGTGATGACTATGCCGGTCTTTTACCTAGAAAATATAGGTAAGTTGTATCTTCTTTCAATTTCAACTTTGTTCTTGATAAAAAAAAAAAGAGACACAAGATTATGAAGTTTTCTATGCAGTAATAGATTTTGGTGTAAGCTTACTCTGTGAATTCCAACATTTCCAGTATTTTGAAAATCTGAACAATCCAACATCTTTTAAGATGTATACAATATTTGTGATTTCACCACTATTTATTGAATAATTATTGTTATGACAGCAAATAATATTCATAACAATTTGTTACAATAAAATCAGTATATTATTGGTGTTTTGTAGGTTATTAGCTGAAAAATATAATAAAGAAATACCTAGAAGTACAGTATGTTTTTGTTTTTATTTTTTATTTTATTCATAGAATTTCTTCTTCTTTTTGAGAAACTCTTATATGTTGTGCAAAATGGCAATTTAGTTCTATCACATGATATTGTATAAGTAAGGCAGGTTTTGAATTATATATCTTGAATTTAAATTGTGATTTCAGATGTTAATACCTAAAAGACAAGGTCCATGTAGAAATCTTTTAAAAGAATATTATACATCATTATGTTCACATCTTACTAAAGATCATAAACAGTTAAAAACAATGGAAAAACACAATCTTAGAATGTTGATAGTAAGTAACTTTTTGATTGGCTATATTTGATTTGATTAATTATGATTTTTACTTGATTGAATTAAGATTTACTTCACAATGTTATGATTAATATCACAATGTCCCTTTAATATGAAATTTAACCGTGTATATGTTATGATTTTAGACTAAAGGAGAAGTGAGTAATGAAAGAAAAGAACAATATGAAACAGCCCAAGCTGCCTATATCAAATTATATAATGCAACTTCAATATTTGTGGTCAGTTTACTTTTATTTCTTTGTGATTGTAAACCTTCTCTTTCCATTACTCAAGGCATTACCAAGACAAGAGTTATTCTTCAGGATGTTATTTGTAAAATGTTCATGTTACACCTTCATTTTTTTTTTAGCTACAAAAATGTTGTAGGACAGGACCATATATACAGACATATAATTAGACGCTTCATAGTTAAAATATGATCTTGTCTCTCCAGTATCCTCATATTCCTTAATTTGAACTATATTTTTAATTGCAGGATTTATTAGATGAAGATATGCCTGATTTACCTGAGGAAGGTCAGTTTTAAGTTCTGTATATTTATATTTAACCTATACCAAAGATATATAATTGAAAATACTGCACATATTTGTTTTATCTGCAGATTATTTAAACACTCTGACCACAGAATAACTTTCATTACCATGTGTAGAATTGTTTTTTATTATGCAGTATTTTACTGCCCAATCAATAATTTTCCTTAGAGGTTAATGTATTTAATGATATCATTAGCTGTTTAAGTTCAGTAAGCCTATTGTCAACTGTATGAAAATTTCTTGTCTATTTCAGAAGTAAAAGTGAATGGTGAAGATGGTTTATTTGATATATTTAATGCTACAGGGGGAGAGGTAAGGAAGTGCAAATTTCAGGAAACATTGATAGGCTACACATCCTTTTAGGATAAGATAATTCTCTATAGTTTCTGTTAGAAGGGGATATAAAATGATAAATTCTATATTGTTTCTGTAAGAATGGTCAATTCTATATAGTTTCAGTTAGAAGGAGATATAAAATGATCAATTCTATATAGTTTCAGTTAGAAGGAGAATGAATATGATCAATTCTATATAGTTTCAGTTAGAAGGAGATTTAATATTATTAATTCTATATAGTTTCAGTTAGAAAGAGATTTAATATTATCAATTCTATATAGTTTCAGTTAGAAGGAGATTTAAAATGATCAATTCTATATAGTTTCAGTTAGAAAGAGATTTAATATTATCAATTCTATATAGTTTCAGTTAGAAGGAGATTTAATATTATCAATTCTATATAGTTTCAGTTAGAAAGAGATTTAATATTATCAATTCTATATAGTTTCAGTTAGAAGGAGATTTAAAATGATAAATTCTATATAGTTTCAGTTAGAAAGAGATTTAATATTATCAATTCTATATAGTTTCAGTTAGAAGGAGATTTAATATTATCAATTCTATATAGTTTCAATTAGAAAGAGATTTAATATTATCGATTCTATATAGTTTCAGTTAGAAAGAGATTTAATATTATCAATTCTATATAGTTTCAGTTAGAAAGAGATTTAATATTATCGATTCTATATAGTTTCAGTTAGAAGGAGATTTAATTTTATCAATTCTATATAGTTTCAATTAGAAAGAGATTTAATATTATCGATTCTATATAGTTTCAGTTAGAAAGAGATTTAATATTATCAATTCTATATAGTTTCAGTTAGAAAGAGATTTAATATTATCAATTCTATATAGTTTCAGTTAGAAAGAGATTTAATATTATCGATTCTATATAGTTTCAGTTAGAAGGAGATTTAATTTTATCAATTCTATATAGTTTCAATTAGAAAGAGATTTAATATTATCAATTCTATATAGTTTCAGTTAGAAGGAGATTTAAAATGATCAATTCTATATAGTTTCAGTTAGAAAGAGATTTAATATTATCAATTCTATATAGTTTCAGTTAGAAAGAGATTTAATATTATCAATTCTATATAGTTTCAGTTAGAAAGAGATTTAATATTATCAATTCTATATAGTTTCAGTTAGAAAGAGATTTAATATTATCAGTTCTATATAGTTTTAGTTAGAAGGAGATTTAATATTATCAATTCTATATTGTTTAAGTTAGAAAGAGAATTAATATGATCAATTCTATATAGTTTCAGTTAGAAGGAGATTTAATATTATCAATTCTATATAGTTTCAGTTAGAAGGAGATTTAATATTATCAATTCTATATAGTTTCAGTTAGAAGGAGATTTAAAATGATAAATTCTATATAGTTTCAGTTAGAAAGAGATTTAATATTATCAATTCTATATAGTTTCAGTTAGAAAGAGATTTAATATTATCAATTCTGTATAGTTTCAGTTAGAAGGAGATTTAATATTATCAATTCTATACAGTTTCAGTTAGAAGGAGATTTAATGTTATCAATTCTATATAGTTTCTGTAAGAAGGAGATATAAAATGATCAATTAAATATAGTTTCAGTTAGAAGGAGATTTAATATTATCAATTCTATATAGTTTCAGTTAGAAGGAGATTTAATATGATCAATTTTATATAGTTTTAGTTAGAAGGAGATTTAATATTATCAATTCTATATAGTTTCAGTTAGAAGGATATTTGATATTATCAATTCTATATAGTTTCAGTTAGAAGGAGATTTAATATTATCAATTCTATATAGGTTCAGTTAGAAGGATATTTAATATTATCAATTTTATATAGTTTCAGTTAGAAGGATATTTAATATTATCAATTCTATATAGTTTCAGTTAGAAGGATATTTAATATTATCAATTTTATATAGTTTCAGTTAGAAGGATATTTAATATTATCAATTTTATATAGTTTCAGTTAGAAGGATATTTAATATTATCAATTCTATATAGTTTCAGTTAGAAGGATATTTAATATTATCAATTCTATATAGTTTCAGTTAGAAGGATATTTAATATTATCAATTCTATATAGTTTCAGTTAGAAGGAGATTTAATATTATCAATTCTATATAGTTTCAGTTAGAAGGATATTTAATATTATCAATTCTATATAGTTTCAGTTAGAAGGATATTTAATATTATCAATTCTATATAGTTTCAGTTAGAAGGAGATGTTTCTCTATTTGAAGATGAAGATACTAGAACATTCTATGAAACTTTACCTGATTTAAAAGCCTTTATTCCTGGGGTAAGTATCATATTTCTAAACATTGGTGTCTTGAATGTTTTGGGGAAAAAGAATGGCTTAGCAAGTTTAACACTAGCTTGATTATAACTCTTAGGTCCTCTTGTCAGTGCTGTAGGTAGATTGACATGGATAGGTGTCTTTCAGATGGGACAATAAACCCAGGCTCCCATGTATTACAGTCTGAACAGGTATCCCTCAACTGTAACAATTCAAAAGAGAGCAGATCAATACTAATAGGCTGTTGAATTGACAGACACAATCGCACTAGGCTGTCTAAATTGATAAGCAACATCCTTTCTTGTCATTTTTGTAGTGGAGCTCAATTTGAATGATTTTCTAGCAGAGATGCTGAACAACCCTTTATATAAATGAATTTCCTAATTTTAGATTTTATATAAAGATAGTGAAAAACAGGCCACAGAGACTGATGTTAAAGAAATAGATTCTTCTTTAGAGTTAGGTTAGAAATTGTATTATATCTATTAACTATATATTTTCAAATTATAAACCAATAGCAATTCATCAGTCATCTTTAAATTGTCAAATTGGAACTGATGTAAAAACAAAAATTGTTTCAAAAGAAAATATATTCGTCAGAACTTGATTGACTTATTAAAAGTTTTGACTATGTCAATTTCCTTGGAGGAAGCACTTAAGATCCTTTTTCCTTTTTGTTGAGATATTGATGTAGAAGATCTAGAGAAAGAAATAGAATCAGAGGTAGGACTGGTAGAAGATCAGTTAGAAACAGAAGGTAAAGAATTAGATGATGGAACATTTCTGCCACCGGAAGCTGAAGGTAAAAATCATTTAAAAGTTCTTTTTGTCCCAGGTGTCTGATTCAAGTTTGTTTTTTTTATATATTTAGCAGCTTTACTTTCCTATGATTTTGGTGATAATTATTTAAATATTTGTGTGAAACAGATATTATCAAATGAAGTCAAATAATGATAGTTTGATGTCTCATATAGAGCTCGAAAAGATCTTTCAATCTCTAGCATTTTTGATCTCTTATACGAGTAAGTTTTAAGGCATATTTCATAAATTCCTCTTGAAACAAGTGTAACAAGTCTTATTTATGAGCTGAAATATAAATGGTGAAAGTAACAGACAACTCGTATTAAACTCGTATTATTACAGAGGGTGATAGTGAAACTGGTAGTTTAATGAAGAGCCAATTTGAAGCGTATTTACAAACATTACCAAACTGTGTCAATAGAGATCATATTGATAAGGTAATGTTTTATATACACACTGATATTATTGTAGATAAGAATTTTCATTTTCCTTTTACTGTTGTCTTTTAAAGTGAAGGCATCTATATTTTGATCAAATTTCATTGTAATATGATGAAGTCATTGGTAATTCAAATCAGACTAACATTCTGTCAAGGTATCAAAATGTTTTAAACCTGGGAATTAGTTGTATTCAATTAGGCTTATCTATTTTTGTCTTCTAGGCAGCTATAGAATTCTGTATGAATTTTAATACTAAAGCTAATAGAAAGAAACTTGTAAGAACATTATTTACAGTACATAGAACTAGGTAAGAAGTTATGGGATGACCTATTTGTAATATTGATGATTTACAATTAAATTCTTCATTTTTTGGCAAAGCCAATGCTTGAAAATTATGTATATGTGAACAATTACTTTGCATACCTACTGTATAATAACTATAGTGCACAAGAATCTTACCCTCACAGTATTTCTGTGATATTTGTGATGATTATGTGATAATTTGTATTTTGTAGATATGATCTGCTGCCATTCTACTGTAGATTAGTAACTATATTAAATCCCTGTATGCCAGATTTAGCTACAGATTTACTTCAATATTTGAAAGGGGATTTTAAATGGCATGTAAGTTGAGAGTGCCTTGTCTTTGACAGTATTTATCTAATTGTTCTTCATAACTTGACTTTAACATAATAAGCCACAAAACATGTCAATGCCCATAGATTTTACTCTTGCAAATAATTGTCTTTTTTTAAACCTTAAATTAATCATTACTGACTTATATGAAAATTGATAGTGAAAATTCTGAAAAGATTTTAAAATTTTATGAAAATAAACCTTACACAATGGTTGTAATTTATTTATTTTTTATTTCTAGGTGTGTAAAAAGGACCAAATTAATATTGAATCCAAGTTAAAGACAGTTAGATTTATAGGTTAGTTCTAGGGAATTTTAAGTTATATTTTCCAAGTGCAAGTAAAATAAGTAGCCAACTGACAGAAATCTCATTATATCCAACCATCTATTATGGTTCATTAAATCAATTTTATTATGGGTTTAAGAAGGGTTTCTTTATTTTCTAGGTGAAATGGTTAAGTTTAAACAGTCACCAAAGGCTGAAGCTTTACACTGCCTAAAGGTATATAACTTCATTTACCTCTGAGAAATTTCAACTAAAAATGTAAAAAATTTGATTGAAACCCGCCCATGGAAAAATAAAATTTCAATTTAATAAAATGTCCTTTTGGTTATATACACAAAGACCTCCCGATTATCAGTTATGTCATATAATTGATATTCCAATTCACATGAAATTAATGAGTAAAATTTGATTTTCCAATGAAAGTACCATAGGTAATATCAGTATGTGTTAAATATTTTAGATGTTGATGTTTGATTTTCGTCACCACAATATTGAGATGGCCTGTGCTTTATTAGAATCTTGTGGTAGATATCTCTATAGATCTCCTGATTCTCATCATAGAACTAGAGTTTACTTAGTAAGATATTATATTTCAACTATTATCAAATAATTTATCAATAGCTTTACCTTCAGGAGTCAAAGACAGTTGTAGATACATATTGAAAAGACAATATATGTAAAGAGTAGAAAATCTATTGTCCGGACCTTATAACAATTACTGCAGAGATCACAATATATAGACAAATACTAAGATAATATTTTATTATCAAGATTTGTGGGATATCATTTAGCAAATAGAGCTCCATGTATTCAATTACCGGTATGAATCAAACACTTAATGATTTTGTGTAAGAATTTATACTGGTTGATATATTGGTTAGGTATCATATCTGTTGAATTTTAATTTCAATATTTTAGGATGTAATGATGAGAAAGAAATCAGCTTTACATCTAGATCCTAGATATACCACCATGATAGAGAATGCTTACTTTTATAGTAATCCTCCAGAAGCTCAACAAATAGTTAGAGTAGAGAGACCTCCATTACATCAATATATTAGAAAATTACTATATAAAGATTTATCTAAAGTAACTACTGAGAAAGTAAGTGACAAATTCAATGAAGATAGAATATATTTCAAGGAAGGGAAGACTTAGAATGATTCTGACACCCCATTCATTGATTTTGTTCTTTTCTATGTAATCAAAAAAGTATTTAGAACTTACCTGAATTTGAATAATTGTCCTAAATGTCAATATATGCACTATTAAATGGACATGCTGGAATGTTTTGACAAAATGTTTTATTTTTTTGTATAGGTTCTGCGACAGATAAGAAAATTGGACTGGGATAATCCTGAGGTAAGATAACTTAATTTTTAGTCTTTATTTACTTTTAAACAAACATAAGCAAGTTGAATTTGATTGTTTCATTGAAAAATATGGTTGACAGAATTGAAATTTCTGTAATAAAACTAGTGCCTAAATGTTTTCTTAAATCTTAGGGTTGATAATAGTTTTATATTTTCAGATTGCTTTCTATACAACAAAGAGTTTAACTGCTGTGTGGAATACAAGATATAACTCTGTACATTGTATGGCTAATCTGATTGCTGGCTTAGCACCATATCATGTAAGTTTCTTACCATTGTAATATTTTAGTCTGGAAAGCAGTTTCATTTAGTCTGGAAAGCAGTTTCATTTTAGTCTGGAAAGCAGTTTCATTTTAGTCTGGAAAGCAGTTTCATTTTAGTCTGGAAAGCAATTTAATTTTAGTCTGGAAAGCAATTTCATTTTAGTCAGGAAAGCAGTTTCATTTTAGTCCGGAAAGCTTTCATTTTAGCCTGGAAAGCAATTTCATTTTAGTCTGGAAAGCAATTTCATTTTAGTCTGGAAAGCAATTTCATTTTAGTCTGGAAAGCAGTTTCATTTTAGTCTGGAAAGCAATTTCATTTTAGTCTGGAAAGCAATTTCATTTTAGTCTGGAAAGCAATTTCATTTTAGTCTGGAAAGCAATTTCATTTTAGTCTGGAAAGCAGTTTCATTTTAGTCTGTGTCATTCTGTGTACGATGTATTATTATCCTTTATATGATGATATATCATTCTTTTGATCATGCAGTATCATCCTTTATATATCATCCTGAATATTTTGGAATATCATCTTTTATATAATGCAGTATCATCTTTTATATAATGCAGTATCATGTTTTATATAATGCAGTATCATCTTTTATATAATGCAGTATCATGTTTTATATTATAGGAACATGTAGCTATACAAGTTGTTGATGGTGTATTAGAAGATATTAGATTAGGAATGGAGGTACAGTAATATTGTACCTTTTATACCTTACAAGGGTGAATGAAATAAAATATTCTGAAAACTGAATAATCAAAAATAGTTTAGATGAGATTGTCTTCCAAATTTTTTTTTTTTGTATATAAAATGATACATACAGTTTAATATACAGATATAAATACAAATACTTAATGAGCAAAAAAAATTATATACAGTAAGGGCAATTTCCCAAAGAATAGAATCATCTTCAATCAGGCTATGTAATGCCTATAAAAACGTGTGATCTTACTTAACCTTCAGAAACTGATTGAGAGACTTTGAATAATAACCCAGTTCTATAAGTATGTTAAATTTACCTATAATTTTAGATAAATCATCCTAAGTACAATCAGAGAAGAGTAAGCAGTGTAAAGTATCTAGGAGAACTATATAATTATAGAATGGTAGAATCAGGAGTTATATTTAAAACATTATATACATTTATAACATTTGGTGTATCTATTGATGGTAAGTAGCTTAATAAACTTTTTATTGTTACTTTTAGCAAGAGAGACAGCTCAATCTTCTAGAACACCTCATGTGACTGCAGTATTACATTCACATACACTTATGAGAGAAAAATCTATCACATAAATCATGATAGTCAATAGGACTTTATCCACCTGGTCTGTTAATATATATACATATACCACTTGGTAAAGCAACACATATTATATCTCTATGAAAAGGGACTTATCACTATTATGTGCTACCTAAATTCTTATGACCAATGATGTAGAGAATAGCCTATAAAATAACAGCTCCTCATAATCACACTATTGGAGTCTTATCTTTTTATCTTTTCTATCATTATTAGACAATTAAAGCCTCAAAGAGCCTAACAGAATTATCTTGTTGCTGTACCAAAAGCTATGTTGAAAAAAGCACCATGATAACTTGATGTGTTGGTGATCATATTTAATATCGCTACATTTTTTCTTTTCAGATAAGTCACCATCAAGTTTAGATGCTCCAGATCATTTATTTCGTATCAGATTAACTTGTGTGTTACTAGAAACATGTGGACAGTATTTTGATAAAGGTTCCAGCAAAAAGAAACTGGATTGTTTTCTTATATATTTTTTGGTAAGAATGAGTAGCCACATATCAACTGCAGACATGGGTCGGGCTTTATTTGTTTTATTGAATATCCGATTGATTCCATGAATCTCGTACATGCAAATCATTATTATAACTAAAGTCTCAATCCTGGATGTTAGTTTTCATTCATCAACTTGGCATTTTCTTATCTTGCTCAACAAACTTGCTGTGTAGATACAGTCATTATTGAAATGGTTTTTCATTTACAGAGATATTTTTGGTTTAAGAAAAGTTTATCTATCTGGACACATGACCATCCTTTTCCGATAGATGTTGATAACTTAGTCCATGATACACTAGATACTATCAGACCCAAGTTAAAACAACCTAAATCTTATGAAGAGGCCTGTAAGACCACAGAGGAATTAGAAGAGGAATATAAAGCTAAAATATGTGAGTTCTTATTGATATTCTAAAATGTCTATCATTCAACTCAGAATGGTGTGTTTCACTAGCCCAGTTTATAGTGAAACAGTAAGACGTTTCATTCTATTTCAATTCATTTTGATCAATATTTCATTTCAAAATGTTTCTTATTTCATTCCATTATGATTGAGATTTCATATGATTGATATTTCATTTCATTATGATTGATATTTTATTTCATTATGATTGATATTTCATTTCATAGATATTTCATTTCATTATGATTGATATTTCATTTAATTATGATTGATATTTTATTTCATTATGATTGATATTTCAATACATCATGATTGGTATGTTATTTCATTTCATTATGTTACATATCATTATGATTGAGATTTAATTCATTATGATATTGATATTTCATTTCATTATGATTAAGATTTCAGTCTCATCAAGACAGAGAATTTTGCAGTGTAATCTGAATAATTACATCATAATTCCTCATGGCTTGATCAAAAAGTAACTATTTTTAATTTTTTTAAAAATTATTATAATATTCAATGATATAATTTACAGCTTCATTATTAACCATTAACGAAGAAGATGATGAAGAGAATATAGATTATGATAATGATAATGATGGTTTATCTACTATTAATGAGTCTGATGAAATAGGTAACTGAATTCTTCATTAAAAACAGGATTAAGTTCAAGGTTATCAATCACTACTGATGAAAATAAAAGCTGCATCAATATTTAAGAGTGGCTTGTTGACTATTCCTGAAATCCTTGACAGAAAGCATGAATTCTGGTTTCGTCTTAGTAAAAACTATTTACAACTAAATTACCGATTATTCATTCTTTTCTGCTTTTCCATAAGTGATTTACTGTCTATTATTCAATAGCTCTGCTCTTTTCATATCAGAAGATATTTTACATAACTTTCATATTTGTAGTTGATGATTTATCCCAAGTTGAAGATATGAACACTGGAGAAAGTGATCCTAGTCAAGATGAGAGTAATCTTCATAATACAGGCAGTCAAAATGTTGAGGTAATTATTATCTTACTGTGTTTTAATCTTGTGTCAAAATGTAATGGTAATTTTCCCAGGTAAGGCAGGGATAAGAGACTTCTATTTCCAATAAAAATGTTAAAGAAAAATGGCCAGAACAGGAGGTGCATCATATCAATGTGCATATAAAACCTTCCTATAATTTGGGAAGTGGCAAAAATAGCAATCAACTGCTCATGGTCATTGTTGTATTTGTACAGGATGAAGTAGATAGTCAAGATGATGATATCATGGTATCAGCTGGTGAAGAAGAAGCTGATGATCAGGTAAGGACTATCTGTAAACTATCTACAGCTTTATAACCTCCTTGAATTTGTCAAATTTGGCTTAGGAAAATTTGGCTTAAACCAAATTATACTGATCTTTACTATTATTATCTTGAGAAATTTATTTTGCTCCACGTACATGCACTTATATTCCTGCAGGTAACAGTATTGACTGGTGGACCAAAATATGTCCAGTGTCAAGAAGATGAAGATTTTCTCTCAGCTTTTGATAAAATGATGTCTGATAATATCAAGGTACTTCAAATTTTCCTTTTGGATTCTGATTTAGGAGACTCATGCTTAATCCAAGGGTTCGAATCTCAGGATAGGTTGAGCTGACATTGAAAAAGCTTGTAGGTTGTTTGGATGGTACAATGTGAAAAAGGCTTCACAAGGATTTAAATAGGAACCTTTCAAATGATAGAAAAATTTGATCCAAAATTAGAAATTTTTTTTTTTTTTTTCATGACAATGTCAATATTTTTTCTAGTCAAGAACAAGAGAAGCTGTAAAAGTTCCACAAATGGATATAATTGTTCCCATGTACCTTAAAGATAAAAGGAAAAAAGCTGGTATTTAACTTTATCATTCCATTGTACATTAATGAATGAAGGAGTGAATTCGTTGTTGAATTTATCTACACTGCGTTTAAGGGATATATTAATTAGAATTGAAAGGATTTTTTTATTATGAATTCATGTACTCAAGGATTATTTTGAATCGTTCCTTTGTTGATTTCAGGAAATACCAATACCCCTAATATACTGTCTGATACTACAGCTGATGATATGGTAGAGGAAGCTAAACCAGATTCACTTAATTTCTTATTAATGACTAGGAAGGGCAATAAACAACAGGTATGTCACCTAAATGAATCTGGAAAAAAATCCTTGGTGGTTCAGTGTTGAAGATCTACTAGGCTGTCAAAAATCAAACTTTATCAAACTAAGCGTCTAGTCGTTTGGATGGGACAAAAAGCCCTGTGTGCCATAGGCTGTTCAAGGTCAAAATCTTTGATAGTGTGAAATTGAAAATAGGTAGGCTAATACCACTGTTCTGTCAAAATTCTCCTCATTGCACACTGCATGGCATTCCCTGTAATTGCAGTGAGGACTTAATCTGTGATTTCTATTGTAGTTTACCAACTTGAAGGTTCCAGCATCAGAAGATTTTGTGTCAAAGTTCAAGGAAAGAGAAAAGGTGAAAATTAGGTTTCTACTCCATATCCCTCATAAAAATTAATAATTCCAATTTACCACATACAAGCAGAATGTTACAGAATAGTAACTTTCAGCGAATTTTCTATTGTTGATAGTTTGCTTTAGGATATAACTTGATATTACTCTCTTGTATTTAACAGCTAGAACAAGAAGAAAGAGAACAGATGAAGCAGGTAGTATTAGGTATACATGAACGTCAAGAAGAGGAAGACTGGCAAGGTGAGTTACTGGTAGATTTCATCGTAACCTTAAGGAATAACCTACAATAATTTGTGCCAACACCGATAAATGCTAACCCCCTGGTGTATTAAAAGTTCCATGTTCAAGTTTGAAGTCAATGTTCACAACACCCGTCATTATTTTTCAACCTAAAAAATTTTTGTCCATGTGTCAGACAAACTGTGAACGTTGAAAATTCCTTGACAGTTAAATAATAAATAAAGGGTAGGCTAACGACACCGTTCTGGCAAAATTTTCCTCATTGTACACTGCATGGCATTGTCCATCTTTATTAGCTCATTCAGGTACAGAAAAGAAGGACTTAAAACTCCATTTATTTGATCAATTTTGATACCACCAAACATTCATGTCTTGATGACCTATATTGTAGATATGATAGCTGCCATGAATAAAAATGTTCAAGTGAATGTTAATAGAGAACGTAAAGTGAAGTATAACCATCCTAAAGGAGCACCAGATGCTGATCTTATCTTCGGTTCCAAGTGAGAAGATTGGTGTTTAGTCTTCATCTTGTGGTTTGTTTTGTTTTATTTTAATAAGTTGTTTATATTTTCTGCAGTTGACAAGGCTTAACATAGATAACCAAACCAACAAGATTGTTCGCAGTTTATTTTAACAATCATATCAGGCTAGTTGCTTGGTAATGAGTTACATGTATTATAACAGTATTCAAAATAGATGTTGTATTTAATTACAATAATATGTTAATATTTAAACTATAAACAGTCCAACTGTTTTGTTAGCCGCAGAAAATTATTATATTGTTATAAGTTCAGTTTTTATGCTTATATTATTTTAAGATTGTCACATTTAAGTATATAGTATTTTCTTACTTTTATATTGCATGGTTAATTTTGTTATGTACATTACCATAGAATTCATAAGTTATTTCTTACAGTAATTTTCAACTTGTGTATTTCAAATGTGAAATGTTTTGCTGACTTGAACATCTAATCTTAAAATATAATTTTCTTTCTGTTATCAAATATTGAAAATAATAATGTTTAAATTGAGTCTTGGATACCTGGATAAAATGAACATCAAGTGGAAGTAAACCACAATTTGTCTTATATTTTCAGAAAACGCTGACGAAAATGATCAATGGAATAATGGTTCTATTCCTGAAAAGGGGACGCAAGAAAATGCTCCCTGGTGCTAACAACTATTCTCTCGGAAACATCAAGAGGAATGGTTCTAAGGGAAAGTCTGAAGAATAATAGACAATGAAACAATATGGGACAAAAAGTTCCATCAACTATCTGAAATTCTAGAGAAAAAAATAATATAAAAGACAGTAAATAAAATGTTTTAACATGAAATTTCTGGTTTTGGTTTAAAAAAAAACTTGGATTAGGTTTAGAAGTGGTTTTCTTTTTTCTATGGTTTCAAATCGATTGAATAAATCAATACAGTTTTTTTTTTAAATACAATTAAATTACTCTCTGTTTAATAAGCTCAAATAGTTTGATAATTTTAACCTGAATCAGATGAAAGATTGACTTTGTAAAGAATTGAAAAGGTATGATTAAAGAAATTTAACAGTTTTTGGGTATTTTTATGTCTGTATGAAAATGTGTGTTAAAATGAGTGTGTAAGCCTAAAGCAACTACACTTTTTTCATCTGATGGAATGAAATTTAAAAATATTATGTGGATTGATGAAATCCTGTACATGTTTGAAAGTTTTGTCAGTTATTGGTCTAAACGTGTCAATAATAGCAAGCTTTGTTATGCTGACATGCTTTGAGATCTCTCTTTGATGTGAGCACATTAGAGGCTAGAATTTTTATCTGATTTTGGTAGATATGAGTTTTCAGACAGGTGTAGAGATGATACTTTCGGCCATGAACAACACTAACTGCTGTAGTGGGCATCAACTGATGTGTTGATGGGTATTTGTGCTGGTGAAGAAATAACCTGTCTGAAGTGTAATCAGTACTAATCATCAAAATACAAATTACCAAAAGCAGTTACAAATACTCCCAAGTTTCAACAGATCATAGGCAGGTGCAATCTGCTTCAATCCATAAAGAATTCCTTAGATCATGGTAGCAAGATATCTGATGATACTTTTTCAAAAAATTTTCTACAGAGAAAGACAAATGCTTTCATAAAAAAAGAAGTGTACACTACATCTAATACATGAATGAGATATCTTAAGTATTACAACAGTTAAAAATATTAAAAAATTTATTTTGTTAATATTTCATTGGTTAACAAATAATATAAAATATTAATAATTATCAACATGATAAATTATAGGTAAAATGTGGTTAAGTCACATTCTCACATGTCACAGGTATTATAATCTGACACACTGGAACAGCTGAATAATTCTTTTTAACTGAATCTTCACATGTTTCCCCAGCTATATAAGTTATTCACCTGTAGCCCATATATATTATATATATTAATACTTTTTGATGCCTTTGTCCACCAATTTGATCCAATCACTGTATCAATTAATAATGGTAAAATTATAACATTGATTTGGCACCATCCATTGTTGTTATTATTACTTTGCCAGTTGATTTCCTATTTTCTACATAACTAAATCCTGCATTTATCTATAATAAAAGAAAGTACAAAATGTAAATTTCATTTTAAGTGTTCATTACTAGAAGAACACAACATTTATAGGAACTTTTATCTCTTAAAATTCTAAGGCTTTTTTCAATAATTACATAGTTTTATAGATTTTAAAGATTCTGTTGTATAATTATGACACTAATGTGTACTATTAGTGACCAGGTTTCAGAATTAAAGTTCATTTTAAGAGGTAGAATTCCTTTAAATGAAGAACTACAACACAACTTTACTGGCACAAAAAAAGGAAGCCAAAATCCCAGAAAATTCTTAATAACCATTAACTAAATCCAATTAGCAAGTAAGCACTTAAAATATTGAAAGAACGGTTAAAGCAAAACAAAGCGAAACAATTGGTTGGTTGATAGATGCTTTGAGCTGAAGCTGATATGGCAAACTAAGTGAAATGATAGTTTTTTAGACTAGCAAATGTAGGTCTTAAGCATAATATTACACCTTAAATTCATATGCAATCCAATGGAATAGCAAAAATAATTTTACCTGTGATAATGAGAATGTAGCACCAACATGAGGATAAATATCACCATGATTGATAGCTCTAGTCACGTCTAATATAGATTGAGTGAAAGCAGATGGATTGGTTTGACTGTAATTACCCCAGAATAATCCCATCACAGTACATGATTTTAATAATAATAAATTAGCTGGTATATTAGGTATAGTGCCTGATGCATACCCTACTGTTAATATTCTACCTTCTTCAGCAACACTAAAATACACAGACAACAAATATTGATAAATTCCAAAATGATGTTGAAAGATAAAAAAGGAGTAAAAAAAAGAAATATAGTACAAAGGTACAAAGTTTACACATGTTACATGCAGATTTAAGTAAATTAAAGCATTTGGCAGACGTTCCATAGGAATGAACGCTTAACTTTTCACGATCATTCGTGAAACAATGTGTTTTTAATGGACTGCTTACTTGGGCGTTCATTTTATAATTTCAATAGGTTCACTTCATTTCTTTGGTGTGCTCACGAATGGCATATGTGATTCGAGGAATGGACATGTTTATTATTCATGAAGTAAACTGGTCGAGAAGCAAGGTAGTCAGCATTTCAACCTCGGAAGAGTCGATGACCATCTCTACAAAAGTCCAAGTGACAAATGAAAGCGAACCCTATGTAACGTCTGCCTTAAAGGAATGTATGACATCACCACTGACTATAATGGCCTTTACTTTATTTCATCTTGTTGAAGAAGGGGTGTGATTTATACATTCATGCACACTATATATATAATCATAAAGTAAAACTATTCTTCATTTTTATCTCATTCACCACAAGTCAAATTTTTTATGTATCATAGCCTTGCACTTGCCCGTGACTATTTTGATAAATCTTTGTCAGAATCTTGAATATTGTGTATATTGACAGCAAGCTGAACAGATTCAGGTTTTAAAGACTGTTTAACAAACCAAAATCCTTCTTATCCTTGAATCATTCCAGGTAACTAAGATCTGTGTCTTAATTTCAAAATTTGATCAACTAACCTTTTTAAACACTGTAAAAAGATATCACCACCAACTTGATCCATGACAACATTAACACCCTTCCCTCCAGTTATTTCTTTAATTCTACCTCTTACATCTTCTGTATTATAATCTATAGCATGACTAACTCCTCTTTCTTTTATGAGATGACATTTTTTTTCACTGCCACATAAGCCAATAACCTGGTCATTTAAAATACACCAGAGTTTAAGATTTCATATGGGATACAGTTGATCAGAGCCAAAGACAATTGTAATCTAACAAGTTTTCTACTGCAGTCCTGTTCTAATAATCAAAATCTGTAATGCAGAATCTGATTCATGTAAACAAAGCTGAATTGTGGTAAAATAGCTGGTCATATTGCCCTAATTTGGGTTACTTTGGGTTACTTTGTTTTACCACAATTTGTTATTCTTAGCATTGAAATGATTCCTACTTTAGATAGAAGCTTTGAATTGTTGAACCCAACTTCAGTAGACAACTTGTAAGATTACAACAAAGAAGATACATATCAGATAAAAACAAGAAACAAAATTGTAATCTATTTTTAATTAATTTGCATCTGAAAACGATTCTATAGTATTGATGGTCAAAAGCAAAATTATTCACCTTGATAAAAATAGCATATCAACATACACAGTTCATCCATGTATACTATTTATTGTAAATATCCCTTTAATAAACTGACCTTGGCACCAAAAACATGGCTGGCTATATCAACAGCTGCTAATCCAGTTGCCCCAGCAGCTGCAGTGATTAAAACTGTCTCTCTACAAACAGATTTCATAGAATTATGAATAATGATAAACTCTACAACTTTGAGGTATAAGCAGAAAAAAATTAGACATTGCAATGCTTAAAAGACTGTTTTTAACTTTCGGTTGAAAATCAAACTTTACCACTTACTTGTATGCAAATTGGAAGATAAAATATAATAATGAAAATCTTAGAATGACTTTCTACTGGTATTTAGTTTTCCTACACTTGCAATATTTAATTTGGCTAAGAATGCTCTCGAAAACATATTTCAAAATGTGATTGTGTGCCTATTTCTGCATTTCCATCAACACAATAAACTGAAGGTTATCATTACTAATTGAAAGTTAATATGAGGCCTACTATCACACAAATGTACAAAAGAAGGAAGATTACGATCATTAATTTTACAGATATTGATTCTTCTCTCCAGATTCCAAACTTTCTTTTTATTTTGTTAATCGAAATCAAAAGATAGATTGGTGATGTAATCCAACCTGAAATATAACATCTCTTTCCTGTAGTTTTATATATACAAACCCTTTCTGTAATTGAGCTCTTCTACCTAGCGCCATCATAGCAGTACCATAAGATATAATTGTTCCAGCTCCTTGTACAGTAGATAATGCTTCTGGTAATTTAAATAATGTCTGAAATACAGAGAGTTATTACACATCCTTGGATAGAAAGTGTGTCTTTACATAAGCATGAAAAAACTCATGGGTAGAAAGAAAGAAACAACTATATTGTACAAGGATAACAACTTAGGTTTACAGTTAGGAATCCCTTTCTACCAGCTGGTCCTTGGCCAAACCTCTTGATCTTTCCAGGATTATCTGTACCCATTTACAGCTGGGTCGAATGAAATTGTAAGTGAAGACAACCTATTCAAGGTCATTGGACTTTCACAAGCTGATCGAGATCGGAGCCCATAGCCGCCATTCGCTCGACGTTACCAAGCACAGGACGTCATGTAAACAACCAAAATTTTAATATTGGTTAAAAACAAATTATGCTTACAACAGAGCTCATAATCATACTTCTATTACAAATATCACTAAAAGAAAACATGAAAAATTGATGTTCCCATACACACAAAATCCTGCATTGACATAAATATTCAAATTATCCTACCGAAGAATGATAAACCTACTGATTTATGAAAGACACCATATTCAGCAAATCCTCCATAGTTAGATAAAATACCAATAACTTTATCACCTTTCTGTACATTAGATACAGATTCTCCTATATCTTCTACATATCCACATATTTCACTACCTTTGAAAGAAAGTGTATACAAATTGGCAAGATAACAAAACTAACAGTGTAGTCTAGTGTTTTACTACTGTTTAACAAATCTGTAGTGAAAATAGACAAATAAATTAAGTATTTAAGCCTTCAATTCCATATGTCAAGAATTAACCATGTTTGAAAGACAACTTGTCTTTTCTTGATACTCCTTCATATATAGAATAGACATATATAGACAAATTTTATTTTGAAGTAAATATGAAAGAATTATGTGATTTTCGTGAAGTTCAAGTAGTTTTGAAGACTATTTTCAAATATTCCAGACTCGTATCAATCCCAGAAAATAGCATTTAGCCATTACTTTTGGACAATAAAACTAAAGACGAGAGGATATAATATCTATACCTGCTGTAAATGGTAATGGAGGTTTAACTTGATAAAGGCCTTTGCACATCAAAATATCACTAAAATTTATTCCTGCAGCTTCTATAGCAACCAATACCTACAATTTCAAAGAAAGGTAACAATTGGCAGAATGTTCACATTTGGATTTTTTAAAACTTAAATTGATTTTATTTGTAGACTTAACTTACTTTAATCTAAAATAATTGATAATCAACAATCATCTATTTGAGGGCTAATGTTTTAAAATTTCATTTACCGGTAAATTCAAATACATTTCGGTACACCTTCTTACTTACATACATTAGTGAGATGCTATTTCAAAAACATAACTTATTTACATTACCTGTCCTTTGGATAACCGTGTGGGTTTTTTCTTTTCTTGAATAACCAGTGGTTTCTTATAATCAAAACACACAGCAGCTTTATAGGTTGTTTTCTCACCAACAGACGTACAATAATTTACACTCATTCTTGGACACTGAGATCTAAAATAAATACAATCTGCCAGTCAAAGATAATTGTGACAGCCTGTAGGCTATGTCTTCCAGGAAAAGGATTCATAGTCAAGAACCTAGAATAACAATGTCAATGTTGTCTTTGTTTTTGAATTGCACAAATGTATCAATTCTTACCTCCTACTCAGGACATCAAAATTATGAGCATTCACTTTTCGTATTAATATATGACTCTACACATGTCTCTGATGAACAAAAGGCATAGTATATGATTGTATCAGTGTATGTGCATAAGACACAGTGTCTAGGCTTATATTGAATATGGACTTTGAACTTTATTCAGTGACAATAACCTTAATAATTATATACCAGTAATAAACAAATTATTTCTTCCAACCACTAGCCTATAAACTTTTAGACTTCTGTTATAGGCTAGGGGCCTGTATAAAAAGGACATGATTGGACAGATGAGACAGCTGTCATCTACAGACTGTGAAAGTGAAATGGGCCTACCAGTACTATATATGATATTTAGCACAATAACCTATATAATAATAGGCTAGCTTTTAGTTTTAAGTTATTATTTAAATGTATACCGGTATACTATATAGCCTACAAGATATGTATCTTATGGCAAAGAATGAATAGAATAGACGATGCAATCTAGAGACTGTTGTAGAGTAGGCTCTTTTTACCTCAGAAATGCCCTGAAAACATGGGATGGAGTAGATGACATAGTTATTTAACTATTAAACTTTTAGTTTACATTATCTATTTTTTAAGAGTAAACAACAACTAGCGCCTGGGCGTTCAAGAATATTGTAGTAAACTCTTTGTTATCTCCCTTACCTGGCGTGTGTTTATGAATTTATATTTTGTTTTTATTTTGAATTGTTACAAAGCCAGGTCTAGAAACAACTGAATATGGCTCTTACATCTGGTTCAGGTATTCCTAGTAAATCCTGGAAGCCAGCACAAGTTACCTTAGACACTACGTACGTAAGCCTATTCGTATTATAAACTACCGGTGTCATGTTATTATGGCTCTGGTGTCTGTGAAATGTCAACTTTTTGTTTTGTTTTGTACTTTAATATTGATTTTTGCCTATCCGATATATTGGAAAATTAGATTGAAATTTTTAATTTGATTTTGTACTGTAGTAGATCTAGGCCTAGAAGGGTTAATTGAACTCTTTCTGTTCCATTTCTGTTCAGTTAACAGATGGAAGCTAATCATTAAATTCCCTTTTTTAGCATGGGTAAAATAATAGTTGAGTTATACTGGAAACATGCAGCTAATACTTGTAGAAACTTTGCTGAATTATCCAGACGAGGTTATTATGATGGTGTCAAATTTCACAGAATTGTAAAGGATTTTGTTATACAAGGTGGAGATCCAACAGGCACAGGTGAGGTTATATTGACGACAAAAATTCAAAAAGAAGTCCTACCTGGATTTTTATGTAGTGGAAGCCTTGTAAAAGTTATTTAAGCTTTGATCCTTGTGTAGAGTTGTGGCAATTACTCACAAAAGTGAAACTAGTTTTCGATCAATAAAGCAAATAAATTCCCAGTATATGGCACTTGGTGACCTTATATCAATCAATTAAAGCTTACTAATAGTAGAAATTAACACAATGCTTTGCTCCAAACATGTTCTCATTTGATATAAAGGTATTGTCTGAGCAAAGTAAAAAGTTTTTTTTAAATGTAATCCATCATTTTTTTTATGAGAATTGAAATAGCAGGCTCAAGACTTAGTTTTAGAATGTTTTTGTGTTGATAAAAATATGATTTTTTGAAGTTAAAATTGAAAAGAAACACATTGCCCTCCTAGAAATTTTAACCCAAAAATGTCACAAATTATGGTTGAAAATGGGCCCCTGTAAAAAGAAATTTTGAAGACATAATGTGTACTTATATTTTTATCAATGCAAAGACATTCTAACACTAACAGTACTATCTTGAGGTCGATATTCCAATTCTCAAAAAAATAATAAAAAAATATTCAAAAAACTTTTTACTCTGTCAGATAATAACTGTTCAAGCTTATATGTTCTTATTTGTTTCCGCTATTGCAATGGTTGATTTTGTAGGAAGAGGTTGAAACTGCACTGACTCAGAAAGTTAGATACTTGCTAGCTAACTTGAAGGTCCAAGGTTCACTCCCAGCATAGGTTGATATAATGCCTTTGGATTTTTTCAACCGTTTTCCCCTGTCAGTGATGCAGGTCGGTGGGGATGACATGGAAAAAGCATGTAGTTCTTCGAGGCCTGTGTGCTACAAGCTATAAATGTTAAAGATCCCTTGTCCCTTGACAAAATGACCCCATTGCACACGGCATGGCATTGTATTAGCCCAATAAGTTACAGAAGAGTAGGACATAAACTCCATTCATTTCATTTTTCCAGGAAGAGGTGGTGCCTCTATATATGGTAAACATTTTGAAGATGAAATTAACAGAGAATTAAAACATACAGGTAGGAGTTGTTCAAGTTATTGAGTAAACTAAGTACAGAGTACAGAGGTCGAAACTTGTACAAAATCTGAGTTTTTTTCCTTGAAAATATTAGATTTTGTTCTATGCATTAACTGACGAATTTAGCTATATTCCATGAAAATACATTTTTTATGTAATTACACTATTTAAATTTTTAATCATGTCTTTATGACATTTTACCTTTTATTTACTTTTTCTACAGGAGCAGGAATTTTATCAATGGCCAACAGTGGACCAGACACAAACGGTAGTCAATTTTTTATCACATTAGGACCAACTCAATGGTTAGATAATAAACATTCTATATTTGGACGTGTATATAGTGGTATGAGTGTTGTACATCGTATTGGGATGGTGGAAACAGATCAGAATGATAAGCCTGTTGACGATATTAAAATTGTGAAAGCATTTATAACACCATCTTGATTGTGAATCAGAATCAAACAGACACAATTGACAATTTTAACATTAGGAATTTACTGCATAAAACTGGATATACCTGACCAAGCTGGTCAAGATACCAAGGTCTTCTGTTGTCCATTTGTGGTCAGAATTGCTGGGTTTTCATGAGCAGATACTTAAGAATATTGGGTATAGAGATTAGGATTGGGCAATGTTCATATTTGTTTCGTTTAGTATAAAAATATACTTTCTTAAATGGTGCTTAGCCAAATTTAAAAGTATTGTACAGAGGTTTTTAAATTTTTTTTATGTGTATTGACTTGAGTTCACTGATATCATCAGTTTGCACCGTTCCAATTTTCCATCAGGCGTCTGCAGGTCCTGCTTTGATGAAGTTGCTAATTGCAATGGGCCTTATGTGATAAAGCATATTTTGCGATTATTGAAGTCATGAATCATAAAAAGTTAGAAAACCACGTAACAATCGCTTTAAACAATCATTAGTGTAAATTTCATGAAGTTATGTAATAAATGATCTTTTTTGTACAAAATATATTTGTAATGGATACAATTTTTAAACATACATTCTTATGTTCATATACTGAACAGCAAACCCAGAATTACCAGAATGAGAAAACTTGTCATTCAAACATACTTGTCCAGAAAACTAAAACTTGATTTCACTATTCCTGTAACACTAGATATAGCGAATTGATTGGATTGTACCCCAGGGAATACAGTCAATTAGAGGTCTCGACAGAAAAACTGTTAACATTATAGCATATTGTTAACAGACTTTCTGTGGAGATAATAATAATAACTTCATCATTAGAAATCATTCCAGATGCTGGAAATTGGGAACGGTACAAAGGGAGCCGTAAGCTTCCCCAATAAGTTTAGGAGCCGTAAGTTTCCCCAATAAGTTTAATGAGATATGTGAAGGGAAAAAATGCTGGATTAAACTATTAAAGGTTTGATGTAATAAATAATAAAACACATTTAAATATCAACATCAACTATTTAATGTTCAAATACAAATATTAATATCATGGCTGAATGTAAACAAGAAATGGTCAATTTAAAAGGCTTCAAGTTTATTTAATAAAAGAAATAAAGAGTGAGATAACATAAGACTAGTATGAACATAAGGTCGATAACAATTTATAAAGATCCACCATTTAGTGTGAATCTATGAGAATATTTGTATATAATATAAAAGAAACTTGGAAATTAATCTTTGACAAAACGGAATTTATTACATTTGGATCCAAGAACTGCTTATCATCTATTGCGCAAACTAATATTTCTGTCGGATCTGACGAAATCAAACCGGTTTCATCAGTACAAAATTTTGGTTGCATCTTCAATAATTCAATGGACATGACAAAACAGATTGCCGCCTTATCAAAATCCTGTAATTTTCAACTCTACCAAATTGGTAAAATTAGAAAATATATTGATATTGACTCAACTAGGCTCCCAGATCACTTTACGTTTAGACTATTGCAACTCTCTCCTGTACGGTTTACCAACATCCTCTCTACGAAGTTTACAAAATATACAAAATACCGCCGCAAGACTCATTCTTCTTCTCTCACATATAAGTGTATACAGAGCCTTGCCCTTACCTACCTAAGCGATTTGATGGAAACGAAAACTGAAGGTCTTTGTACACGTTCAACAACTAGAAAAGATCTACTTGTGCCCAAAACTTTGCGCACTTACTGTGGTGATCATGCTTTTTCAGCCACAACAACCGTGCTATGGAATAATCTACCAAAACATGTTAAAGACGCAAATTCAGTGGACATATTCTACACTCGACTTAAGACACAATTATTTAGGCCTACTTGTGAATAGCCGATATGACAGAGCAACTCGACGTCATTGAGTAGAACTTTTCTAGAAATAAGGCATTATATAAATGCATTATTATTATGACTTCCTGTGAATTTTGTTAGAACTTTTATCACAGTAGAACTCAGACGACCTAATCTGGTTATTTTCTTCAAATAATTTATTTATCATTTTTGAACATATACAACAAACTACTTCCATATTTAGCAAATGCGAAACAGAATCTGCGTTCTGTGAATAGCCTACTGAGAAACACAAAGGTCCTGTATTTTGTTCTCTGGAAAGTTGTTGTACCTGCCTAATTTCCCTTACATTATGCTCTTTTTTATGAAACTAATCATCTCAGATATGTTAAGATGAGCTTAACCAACAAAAAATTTACTCGACAATACCATCCCTCTCAATTGTCATTCGTTCTTCGTTCTTCAGATCTATGGTTCCTTTCATCCAATTCATGAACAACCCGTAGAAACCATTAATTTGTGGTGAATACACCAGGGCTGTCAGGAAAGTGTTAAGTTTAACTGTAAAAGACCAATACTATGTCGATAGTTTTCATTCATTTCTCTTCATATTCCCCTTCCAGGTTTAAACAATTTTACCAGCCACGCTGCCGGCCAATTAGAAATTATTTTCAGTCACCCTAAAAGAGGTCGTTCACAGCAGAAATGACGTCATCACTACTATAGGATAATGGCGGCTAGCTCTTTTTTAATTTTTGGAAACGGGTCTAATCTATGGCTACAAATTATCTCGGTCTGCTTCAAAACGACATAGATTGTAACTTGACGTCAGAAATCTAATACGTTTCTGATCTACTGTCGAGAGATTGCACCAATCTTGCAGAAACTTGGAATAGAAAAGCGTCTAATAGTTCGGATGGAACTAAAGGTATAATATATTTGATTTGATGGAATATCTGATTATAGTCCTGAAATGGGCGATGTTTCAATTAACAATTAACTTTACTGTGTTAAGTCATTGCCCATGGCTTTAAAACACATTGAAATCAGCCCAAAAACTGAAAATTTCCCTGTATGTTATGAGGTCAGCTCCATACCACCCTTTTCGACAGAATAAACCACTAATTGTTGTTTCTAATCTAAGTTTTAATATATTCAAGCGTGGAATTGTTTAGAAGATGGTCACCTAAATCAAGTTAATACAAAATTGCATGATATTTATCTACTTGGTGGTCTGTCTCTAAAATATGAAGTATAATTAAGAAAAAAAAGTCTGTCTAAAAATGGGTATTTTCCGCAACTCGGAAGGTGCAGTTTTTTTTCTGACTCCAAACAACAAAACTGTCAAATTAGCTATCGGAAGCTGGAATGGACGCAGATGTTTAGGATATGTCTAAATATTATCGCAACAATAAATTGTATTTGAATCGATATTAACAATACTTGTCGTGGATATACAGAATATAGGCACTGGTTATAGGAATATTTGTACCAATATTATTCTTTTCGATACACCTGATGGTACTTCTCGTTGGAGGAGTCAACTACTATGAAAATTTTACTCCAGATTATGCCACTCTTTGGACGAGATTTTTGATTGACGGTATTGTCTTGCGTGTACGGATTTTGATTGATATCATGCCGAATATGTGTAGTTATATTACCCATAACTTAGTTGGTGCCACTTCAAATACCAACACCATCGCCATTCATTGCTAGTAAAAAGAAAGTTTTCAGATATCCGTTGCTTATCCAGGTTTAAAAATTATCTCAATACGTTTTCGATCATGTATATAATGTCGATTCGTCTAGTCAGTGCAAATCTATGTTGTCCATAAGGTCTTTCAATACAATTTTCTTGTGTTTTATTTGTTATGCTACAGATCTAAAATAAAACATTGTTTATAATCAGATTAGCTGTTAAAGTAATATAATCCTGATTTCCAGCATCATATCCGGACGCCGAACCCTGTTTGGGTCGGAACCGGGTGGGAACTCGTCGTGCCTATTTGGTCGTTTCCGGCATGATCTTCAACACAGTTTCTTTATGTATCGTGTTGGCAACTTTGAATATATGTGTGGTCACGGGCCACACCATCAATTGAATGTACCGAAGTTAATGACTCGACTAGAACAGGCTGCTGATTGGCCCAGACCCATCCGGCATTGCGGCGCCGTACGAAAAAGTCTATATCTTATTTTATGTTGGTTGTACAGTGACATCTGTCGTCATAATCATGACCTTCAAATATATCCGAATTGTATTTGGAGAAATGTTTCGCGAGATTTGTTATATATTGAACATTTGTATTTGAACATTTATTTGTTGGTAGAGCTTTGTGTTTGACGTTTTGCATTTGAAGATATGTCGAGCTAGATTTTTATTTGAGAATATTTTTGGCAAGAATTCTGTTAACTCAATAATAGGAAAACCGAATGTTTAACGAAGAATGTCCATTTTCAGTACAAATTATGATTTTTATATACAAATGTCAATTTTCAATGACAAAAATGTTGAATTAAGAGTGCAAAAAAGAGATAAGAATTAAGAATTAAGAACATTGAATAAAAAGCCATTCCACCTTCCATATTATTGCGGTAGACAACTTTTTAGATTACAATGGGGTTTGAATAATATCAGACAACGAAACTATAATCTGATATTAATAAGATTGGATCCGAATTGTTAAGATCGATCTTATTTCGACAGATTTTAAGTGCATGATATGTAAGAAAAAATCATTAACTCCGAGTGGTTTATAGACTCTTTACCTTTATATTAGGACTTTCCTTTATGTATGCAATATTCTGTGGCTAAAAAAACTATGCTCCACTCTTTTGTACATTGACGGTTTTGTGGAATCATCGTATACAGACACAGTCATGTAATCACGTTTTGAGTTTGAGAATAGATGTAATCACAGTTTTACGCGTTCAGTTTCGGATAAGCTTTCCAACTGAAAGGCTCTGTCGTCTTATTTTTCAGACATTTTGAGTCGTCTTGAAGAAAAATGATTATTGTACGATTTAAATGACGGTCGCCACACACTGTCGATTAAATTGTGCAAGCAAGTAGACTTGCGCAATAAAATATCGGTCAATTTAATTGTCAATTCCCGGTATTGACAATTTAAATTATGCTATATAATTGATCGTGTAAGGGCCACTTTAAGCCTTTATTTTAAAAGAACATCCCTCAACTGATTAGCAAATCTATATAAGTCGATACTCGTTTCCTTTCTGAAAGATTATTTAAAGGACAGTCAATAAGCCTTTTATAATAACAACTATGTTGAAAGGGAATTTAATACGAGGTGAATTTTTGATGTTTATATTTTTACTTTACTGTAGGTATAATAATATTTGATTCTCGTTCAACACAATATTAATCTAACCCTGGAGTCATTACTCCCAGATCTAGCGTTTTCTTATTGTTATATGTGGTATAATTATATAGGAACAAATATGTGAAGGGATACGAAATAAATATCAATTTCCTGGAACGTAGTGAAATTTTGGGGACTTTTATTTTGGCCGCAAAAGATTTCCCAGAACAATGCTTTTTCTATGAACATCAGTGAAACATTGTCAGGACATGTATTAGATCTGAGACATGTTCCTTTCAAAATTAAATACATATCATCTTCCCCCTTGTACATTGCCGGTTTTGCGGAATCAGCGTATACGCACGCGTGTTAATCACGTTTTGAGTTTGAGATTGAGTTTAAGTTATGCTTACGTACACATATAATAGTAGCTTTAGGATGCACGGTTGTTCGGTAGGTAAAATTCCAAAATCCCAAACTGTCCGAATTGTTCGAATTGGGTCAGAAAAGACAAAAAAATCGAAACTAAAATTGCGCCAATGGTCGTGCACAAATTCGGGAATCAAAACATTTTACATCAAGAAAAGAATATTTTTAAAAGCTTTCATTTGGTCAAATCACAATTTATATACGCCCACATGGAAATGTGGACGTTTATTGCAGTCGCCCCTGTCCGCTGTCGGTCCGTCAACATTTCTTGGTAACACAACGGACTACAGTTTTCAACTGATTTTAATGAAATTTGGTGTGATCATTTATATTGATGAGATCTTGGTCAAGTTCGAATTTGACGATCTTTCGATGAACGGTTTTTGAGTTATTGCCCTTGCCTTAGGAAAATTGCGTCAAATTTGTTTGTGAATACAATAGAGACTGCAGTTTTCAACTGATTTTAATGAAATTTGGTGTGATTATTTATATTGATGAGATCTTGGTCAAGTTCGAATTTGACGATCTTTCGATGAACGGTTTTTGAGTTATTGCCTTTGACTTTGGAAAAACGCGTCAAAAATTTGTTTGTAAACACAAAAGAGACTACAGTTTTTAACTGATTTTGATGAAATTTGGTGTGATCATTTATATTGATGAGATCTTGGTCAAGTTGAAATTTGATGATTTTTCGATGAACGGTTTTTGAGTTATTGCCCTTGACTTAGGAAACGCGCGTCAAAATTTGTTTGTGAACACAATAGAGACTGCAGTTTTCAACTGATTTTAATGAAATTTGGTGTGATCATTTATATTGATGAGATCTTGGACTAGTTCGAAATTGATATTTCGATTAACGGCCTTTGAGTTATTGCCCTTGGCTTAGGAAAAACGCGTCAAAATTTGTTTGTGAACACATTAGAGACCACAGTTTTCAATTGATTTTAATGAAACATGGTGTGGTCATATATGATGCTATTATTTGATGTATTTGGGTTATTGATATTGATTTTTAAAAATTTGGTGGAATTTCTCAGCATAAATAACTGGCAGTAAATATATATATATCATTGAATTCAAAATATTAAAATTTCTTTAATATGAGAAAATACATACTTCAGTCACTAAAGACTGTTTTATCATTTCTGACAGCTGCCAGTGGGCGTATGTTACCTTGACTGGTAAGCTATCTTTTTCTTTATTTTTCGTGTACATTTATGTGTGCTAATTTATAATAATGTCGTCTATGAATTGATATTTTTGATTTTTAATAAATATGATCGCTATTATTCAATGGGCACTTTTTGTTGTTTTGTGATCGAAGGCGTATTCCCAATATCTCCCTTGAATAGCGACCATGACATGTCAAGGTGACAACACAGTGGGAGATTTAAATTTAAATAGCTACCAAAAGTTTGAACTCTTGGTTCTTGCTGTTCCTCACATCCCGTCAACATCTTCCCCACCCTTGTCCCCTTAATTCCCATTCAGAAAATGTCTTGGTCGATAAGGGGGCTAGGAGAAGATTGGAAACACAACAATACAGCTACGTGGCATTTAGTGAAAACATACTTTTTAGGGAATCACACTCACAGTCGGATTCAACTACTAGTACTACTCCTCCATGCTATATCCACAGCCTAACTGGTAAAGGTTACGTCATGACAACAATATACTATAATAATAGTAAAAATACTAATGTGAAAAGGAAAATGACTGAAGTCACAAAGTTTGATGCCAATGTGGATGATGGGGAAAAAACAAAAAAAGGTGAGTCTGAATGCATGGTTTATTTATTTCATACATTGACTGCAATCTAAGAACTTAGCTACAGATACAAACTTCTATGATACAAGAAAGGTGTCAATTGCAGTCAAGGGTGGGGAAGATGCTGCCTGGTTGTGAGGAACAGCAAGAACCAAGAGTTCAAACTTTTGGTAGCTATTTAGATTTAAATCTCCCATTCAGTTGTCACATTGACGTGTCGCTATTCAAGGGAGATAATGGAAATACGCCTTCGATCACAGACAACAAAAAGTGTCCATTGAATAATAGCGATTATATTTCTTAAAAATTAAAAATATCGATTCATAGACGGCATTATTATAAACTAGCACGGTGTACACGAAAAATAAAGAAAGAAATTGTGATTTGACCAAATGAAACCCTATATTCGTTTTTTGATGTAAAATATTTTGATTCCCGAATTTGTGCACGACCCTTGGCGCAAATTTAGTATCGATTTTTTTGTCTTTTCTGACCTAATTGGAACATTTCGAAAATTCGAAATTTTATGCCCACCGACGGTCGTTGCTTAAATAGTGGTTATTGTTTGACTATATAAAATATACCCATCGAACCCTTTCTGAAATTGCCGTTTACCAACTTAATCAATAGATCTTTTTATCGGACTGTTTCAATTTTGGTTGGTAACATTTTGGTATGGCAAGGGTGATGATTGTCGATTGGTAGGCTAGGCCTAGGGCCCCGTTCCACTAACATTCTTACGCTTAAATTTTGCGTAAGTTTATCTTACGAAAGAAAAGAACAAAATTTTCGGTTTCACTAAAAAACCTACGCAAAAAAAGTTCGTAAGTTTTTCTTAAACTTACGACAGGGTTTGGCTGTCGTAAGTTGACGTAACTAATGTCCATAGCAACGTCAACGTCAAAATGGCAGAACACCTGTTGTTCGGACTGCGTAGGCCGAGAGAAAGAGTTTTTCATCCGAGGATGAATAATTTGATCCGTTTGGATGATGTGGATATTAAGAAACGTTATCGGTTAACCAAAGATGTCGCGAAAACGTTGGTTGATGATTTGCGAGAAGATCTCTCTAAATGTGGAAGATCACGCGCAGTTTCGCCAGAAATACAGGTGAGCTAAGCATTAATTTTTATGATCTTCTAAGCCTTATTTATAAGTGATACAAGTCTGTGATAATGATTTTTATCATTCTTGGCAAGCTTGATGTGAGCTGATAATCTCTTTTATAAAGGACCCCACTGGAAATAAGTTTTTTTACTTTTGCGGGCCATCCTTAGATATAAGGCTTCCGAACTGAATCTAATCTTTTTCAGAACATTAGCCTAATCATTTAAAGTTTAATGCTCATGATAATTGTCAATTATTTCTGTGTCTGTTCCACCCCTAATCAATAAGTGGGCTGAAACTACTAAACTAGTACATTAAGTAAGAAAATTCGGATGGCATTCGGTGATAACCTACATTATACAGTCGAGTAACCTAATTTCGTGGAAACCTATTATTCGTGGATTTCCGGAAAGGATTAATAATTTACATGAACGACCTTGCTCGACCTCCGCATTAGTTTGTTTTGATAAACATGGGTTTTCTCTACAATATCAGCTAGTAGAATGAATCCAGTAGTTTCAAGCAAGGTAAAATGTATTAATGTATACTTTGACAAATACAAAATGGCGGATTTCAGTTATTACCAAACGTCACCATTTTTTATCGGCCGAATTTCCTTATAATCCCAAGCGGTAATCGGAATTCCAAGTGTCGTCTGCTAGAATGTAGTCCAACGAATGAAGTCACGTGATCAACTAGCGGATTCCGTGTCAGCAGGAAAT